CTCTGTGATCCTCTTGTGGCAATCTACAAGATTCCAAGTATTGTCCGCGATAAGACCTAAAGTGTTCGCTCGAGACTTTTTTTAACACCTAATCTGAGAAAGCGGTTGTATACAGCTTGTAGTTTAAATAGTTTGCCACCTTACATGACTATCCATATGAAAATGTCGATCTGATGTCAAAGGGAGCAATGCCTGAAGTTCTTTTTGATTCCAGTTTAATGTTGCCTATACAAAGGAAGAACCATACAGAAGGTTGATTGGAAATGATTGAAGACAAGAGGAATACCACCGACCGCGTGAAGAAGCTGGGTTACCCAGAACTCTATAGATAAATGCGATTCACATTATTTTTCAAGATTTAGAGGACAGCCCAAAATCAGCATTTTAATCCAAAATACTGAAAATCTCTCTCTCTCAATCTCTCTCAAAGTTTTATTTGCAATTGGGAATAATCATTTTTTGGAATTTTGTGAAGACAAGAAATACAGAGGGAAGAATCAAAACAGGAAAGTCATGAACTCAAGATTTTACAGTAGAGGGTTAATAATCAAACTAAAAACAATAAAAATGACAAAAACGACATTTTGATATAGCAGGAAGAATAATGACTTTAAATTAAAATGGGCAGCAGAATAAGTTATGGTTTAAAAAAGGTAAAAATTGAATCACTTTCTTCAAGGATGACAAAGAGGGGAAGAATCAACCACGGGACTGTGTATTTTTCGAGATATAGGGGGAAGAATGGAGGGCTGCTTTGAGGGACATTCTAGAAATAGACATCTCCTAGTTGGGAAGAATCAAATGGGTGATTGAATTTTTCAGATTCATATTTTTTCAACACGGGACAGAGGCCGTAGAAATGGCTACAAATATCGGGACATTTTGTAAAAAAGCGCCAGAGGGGAAGTAATGAAAAACATTAAAATAAATGGATGAGAGGATACAATATGAGAAATTTTTTCCATTCTTTTAAAGACAAAGATTAGCAGGCAATTGTTTTTGGCTATTTTTTAAGATTGATTTTTTTGGGACATTGAAGACAAGAAATACAGAGGAATGACAATTTTCACAATGATAATTTGAATTAGAAAATTGATCACGTGTATCAGAAACACCATCGAGAATTTCAAATCAATCAAGAGATACAGAGGGGAAGAATCTACACGGGACATTGAAGACAAGAGATACAGGGCAGTGATTCACACGGGACTTGAAGAAAAGAACGGGAAGAACAGGACATTGAAGACAAGACAAGAGATACAGAGGGGAAGAAAGATCACAGGACATTGAAGACAAGAGATACAGAGGAAGAATCTCTTGGGACAGTGAAGACAAGAGATAGAGAAGGGGAATGTCAGAAGACAAGAATCAGAGGGGAAGAACACACGGGACAGTGACAGAGGGGAACCAAGAAAACACACAGAGGGGAAGAAGACACACAGGACATTGAAGACATTGAAGACAAGAGATACAGAGGGGAAGAATCACACAGGACATTGAAGACAAGAGAAGGAAGAATCACACGGGACATTGAAGACAAGAGATATACAGGAAGAATCACACGGGACATTGAAGACAAGAGATACAGAGGGGAAGAATCACACAGGGACATTGAAGACAAGATATAGAGATCAAGGGACATTGAAGACAAGAATACAGAGGGAAGGACAGGAGACATTGAAGACAAGAGATACAGAGGGGAAGAATACGGGACATTGAAGACAAGAATACAGAGGACATTGAAGGACAAACACAGAGGGGAAGATACAGAGGGGGAAGAATCACGGGACATTGAAGACAAGAGATACAGAGGAGAAGAATCACACGGACATTGAAGACAAGAGAGACAGAGAAGGAAGAATCAGTTGACATAAAGAACAAGAGATACAGAGGGGAAGAATCACACGGGACATTGAAGACAAGATATACAGAGGGAAGAATCACACGGACAGTGAAGACAAGATATACAGAGGGGAAGAATCACACGACATTGGAAGACAAGAGACAGAGGGAAAATCACACGGGACATTGAAGACAAGATACAGAGGGGAAGAATCACACAGGACAGTGAAGACAAGATATACAGAGGGAAGAATCACACGGACATTGAAGACAAGAGATACAGAGGAAGAATCAACGGGACATTGAAGACAATACATAGAGAGGGAAGAAGAAGACATTGAAGACAAGAGATACAGTGAACGGGACATTGAAGACAAGAGATAGAGGGGAAGAATCACACGGGACATTGAAGACAAGAGATACAGAGGGGAAGAATCACACAGAGGGGGGACATTGAAGACAAGAGATACAGAGGGGGAAGACACAGGACAGGGAAAGACAACATTGAAGATAGAGACAGGGGAAGAATCACATTTGAAGACAAGAGGACAGTGAAGAAAAAAGATACAGAGGGGAAGAAATCAAGAGATACAGAAGGGACATTGAAGACAAGAGATACAGAGGGGAAGAATCACACGGGGACATTGAAGACAAGAGATACAGAGGGGAAGAAGGGGACATTGAAGACAGAGATACAGAGGGAAGAACATTGAAGACAAGAATACAGAGGGGAAGAATCACACGGGACATTGAAGACAAAGAGATACAGAGGGAAGAATCACACGGGACATTGAAGACAGATAAGAATCACGGGACATTGAAGACAAGAGGGGAGGGAAGAATCACAGGACATTGAAGACAAGAGAGATATACAGGGGAAGAATCACACGGGACTTTGAAGACAAAGAAATACAGAGGGAAGAATCACACGGGACATTGAAGACAAGAGATACAGAGGGGAAGAATCACACGGGACATGTGATCAAGAGATACAGAGGGAAGAATCACACGGGACATTGAAGACAAGAGATACAGAGGGAAGAATCACACGGGACATTGAAGACAAGAGATACAGAGGGGAAGAAACACGGGACATTGAAGACACACAGAGGAAGAACAAGAGATACGGAGGAAGAATCAGAGGGAAGAACATTGAAGACATTGAAGACAAGATACAGAGGGGAAGAATCACACGGGACATTGAAGACAAGAGATACAGAGGGGAAGAATCACACAGGACATTGAAGACAAGAGATACAGAGGGGAAGAATCACACAGGACATTGAAGACAAAAAGAGATACAGAGGGGAAGATACAGACGGGACAAAGAGAATACAGAGGGGAAGAGGGATTGAAGGAAGAAAGAGATACAGAGGGGAAGAATCACACGGGACTTTGAAGACAAGAGATACAGAGGGGAAGAATCACACCGGACATTGAAGACAAGAGATACAGAGGGGAAAATCACATTGAAGACAAGAGATACAGAGGGAAGGGGGAAGAACAAGGAATACAATGGGAAGAAGATACAAGGGAAGACAGGACATTGAAGACAAGAGATACAGAGGGAAGAATCAACGGGACATTGAAGACAAGATATACAGAGGGGAAGAATCACACGGGACATTGAAGACAAAGACAAGAGATACAGAGGGGAAGAATCACACGGGACATTGAAGACAAAGAGATACAGAGGGGAAGAATCACGGGACATTGAAGACAAAGAGATACAGAAGGAAGAAGAATCACACGGGACATTGAAGACAAGAGATACAGGGGAAGAATCACACGGGACATTGAAGACAAGAGATACAGAGGGGAAGAATCACAGGGACATTGAAGACAAGAGATACAGAGGGAAGAATCACGGGACAGAGACAAGATATAGAGAAGACATGGGGAGATACAAGATAGGGAAGAAGAACACGGGACATTGAAGACAAAAGATACAGAGGGAAGAATCACACAGGACTTTGAGAGACAAGGGAAGATACACGGGAGAAGGGGAAGAATCACACGGGACATTGAAGACAAAGAGATACAGAGGGGAAGAACGGGACAGTGAAGACAAGATATACAGAGGGAAGAACAAAGACATTGAATACAGAGAGGGAAGAATCACACAGGACAGTGAAGACAAGAGATACAGAAGGGAAGAATCACACGGGACATTGAAGACAAGAGATACAGAGGGAAGAATCACACGGGACATTGAAGACAAGAGATACAGAGGGAAGAATCACACGGGACATTGAAGACAAGAGATACAGAGGGGAAGAATCACACAGAGGGACATTGAAGACAAAGACAAGATACAGAGGGGAAGAATCACACGGGACATTGAAGACAAAGACAAGATATAGAGAGGGAAGAATCACACGGGACATTGAAGACAAGAGATACAGAGGGGAAGAATCACACGGGACAGTGAAGACAAGATATACAGAGGGGAAGAATCACACGGGACATTGAAGACAAGAGATACAGAGGGGAAGAATCACACGGGACATTGAAGACAAGAGATAGAGAGGGGAAGAATCACACGGGACATTGAAGACAAGGGAAGAATACAGAGGGAAGAATCACAGGGGAAGGACATTGAAGACAAGAGATACAGAGGGGAAGAATCACACGGGACATTGAAGACAAGAGATACAGAGGGAAGAATCAGGAGGACATTGAAGACAAGAGATACAGAGGGGAAGAATCACGACATTGAAGACAAGAGATGAGAGGGAACAAATTGAAGACAAGAGACATTGAAGATACAGTGAAGACAAGGGAAGAATCACACGGGACATTGAAGACAAGAGAGAGATAGAGGGGGAAGAATCACACAGGACATTGAAGACAAGAGATACAGAAGGGAAGAATCACAGGACATTGAAGACAAGAGATATAGAGGGGAAGAATCACACGGGACATTGAAGACAAAGATACAGAGGGGAAGAATCACACGGGACAGTGAAGACAAGATATACAGAGGGAAGAATCACACGGGACATTGAACACAAGAGACAAACAGGGAAGAATCACACGGGACATTGAAGACAAGAGATACAGAGGGGAAGAAACACACGAGATATTGAAGACAAGAGATACAGAGGGAAAGAATCACACAGGATATTGAAGACAAGAGAAGGGGTAGAATACAGAGGGAAGAACACACAGGACATTGAAGAACACAAGAGATACAGAGGAAGAATCACACGGGACATTGAAGACAAGAAGAATACAGAAGGGAAGAATAGAGGGAACACGGGACATTGAAGACAAGAGATACAGAGGGAAGAATCACACAGGACGTGAAGACAAGAGATACAGAGGGGAAGAATCAACACGGGACAGTGAACACAAGAGATTTGAGGGAACAAAAGAGACAAGAGATAGAGAGGGAAGAATCACACGAGACATTGAAGACAAGAGATACAGTGGGGAAAAATCACACGGGACGTGAAGACAAAGAGATACAGAGGGAAGAATCACACGGGACATTGAAGACAAGAGATACAGAGGGAAGAATCACACGGGACATTGAAGACAAGAGATACAGAAGGAAGAATCACACGGGACATTGAAGAGAAGAGACAGACAGGGAAGACCACTTTGAGAGAAATATACAGAGGGAAGAATCACACGGGACAGGACAAGAGACAGAGGGAACAACACAGGACATTGAAGATATACAGAGAGGGAAGAATCACACGGGACATTGAAGACAAGAGACAGAGGGGAAGAATCACATGAAGACAAGATACAGAGGGGAAGAATCACACAGGACATTGAAGACAAGAGATACAGAGGGAAGAATCACACAGGAGTGAAGACAAGATATACAGAGGGGAAGAATCACACGACATTGAAGACAAGAGAAGAGGGGAAGAACAAAGATATACAGAAGGAAGAGGGGAAGAATCACACGGGACATTGAAGACAAGAGATACAGAGGGAAGAATCACACGGGACATTGAAGACAAGAGATACAGAGGGAAGAATCACACAGGACATTGAAGACAAGAGATACAGAGGGAAGAATCACACGGGACATTGAAGACAAGAGATACAGAGGGGGAAGAATCACGGGAGAGAGGGGACAAGAATCACACGGGGAACGGGACGGGACATTGGGAAGACAAGAGATACAGAGGGAAGAATCACACGGACATTGAAGACAAGAGATACAGAGGGAAGAACACACACAGGACATTGAGAGATAGAGGGGGAAAGAATCACACGGGACAGGGGAAAGAGGAAGAATCACACGGACATTAAAGACAAGACAAGAGAGATACAGAGGGGAAGAATCACGGGACATTGAAGACAAGATACAGAGGGACATTGAAGAAAAGAATACAGGGAAGAATCACACGGGAAGACAAGATCACACAGGACATTGAAGACAAGAGATACAGGGGAAGAATCACACGGACATTAAGACAAGATACAGGTAGAGGGAAGACTTTGAAGACAAGAAATACACAGGGGAAGAATCACACGGGACATTGAAGACAAGATACAGAAGGGGAAGAAGAACACGGGACAGGGGAAAAAGGGGAAGAATCACACGGGGAAGACAAAGACAGAGGGGAAGAATACAGAGGGGAAGATATCACACAGGGGGACACAGTGAAGACAAGAGATAGAGAGGGAAGAAACACACGAGACATTGAAGACAAGACAAGAGGAAGAATACACGAAGACAAGAGATACAAGGGAAGAAGAGGGGAAGAAGGACATTGAAGACAAAAGATATACAGAGGGGAAGAATCACACGGGACATTGAAGACAAAAGATACAGGGGGAAGAATCACACGGGACATTGAAGACAAGAGATATAGAGGGAAGAATCACATGGGACGTGGAAGACAAGAGATACAGAGGGGAAGAATCACACAGGACATTGAAGAAAGAAGAGATACAGAAGGGAAGAATCACACACACAGGACAAGAATGAAGACAAAGAGATACAGAGGGGAAGAATCACACGAGACATTGAAGACAAGAGACAGATATTGGAAGACAAGAGATAGGGAAGAATCACACAGGGACATTGAAGACAAGAGACAGAGGGAAGACGAATTGAATACAAGAGATACAGAGGGAAGAATAACACAGGACATTGAAGACAAGAGATACAGAGGGGAAGAATCACACGGGACATTGAAGACAAAAGAGATACAGAGGGAAGGAATTGAAACAATAGGATACAGAGGGGAAGAACGGGACGGGACATTGAAGAGAAAAAGAGATACAGAGGGGAAGAATCACAGAGGACAGAAGAAGACAAGATATACAGAGGGGAAGAAATGAAGACAGGACAGGGGAAGAATCAAAGAAGATAGAGAGGGGAAGAATCACACGGGACATTGAAGACAAGAGATACAGAGGGGAAGAATCACACGGGACATTGAAGACAGAGGGGAAGAATACATTAAGACAAAGAGATAAGAGGGAAGAACACACGGGACATTGAAGACAAGATATACAGAGGGAAGAATCACACGGGACATTGAAGACAAAGACAGAGGGAAGAGATACAAGAGATACAGAGGGAAGAATCACACGGGGACATTGAAGACAAGAGATACAGAGGGAAGAATCACACGGGACATTGAAGACAAGAGATACAGAGGGAAGAATCACACGGGACATTAAAAGACAAGAGATACAGAGGGGAAGAATCACACGGGACATTGACAAGATACAGAGGGGAATGAATCAGAGGGACAGAAGACAACAGAGGGAAATCACACGGGACATTGAAGACAAGAGACAGAGAGGGGGAAGAATCACACAGGACATTGAAGACAAAAAGAGATACAGAGGGAAGAATCAGGACACGGGAAGAACAAAAGAGATAGAGAGGGAAGAATCACACGGGACATTGGAAGACAAGAGATACAGAGGGGAAGAATCACACGGGACATTGAAGACAAGAGATACAGAGGGGAAGAATCACACGGGACATTGAAGACAAGAGAGAGAGGGGGGAAGAATCACACGGGACTTTGAAGACAAGAGATACAGAGGGGAAGAATCACACGGGACATTGAAGACACAAGACAGAGGGAAGAATTACACGGGACATTGAAGACAAGAGATAGAGAGGGAGAAGAATCACACGAGATATTGAAGACAAAAGAGATACAGAGGGGAAGAATCACACGGGACATTGAAGACAAGAGATACAGAGGGAAGAATCACACGGGACATTGAAGACAAGATACAGAGGGGAAGACGGGAAGACAAGTACAGAGGGAAGACAAGAGATACAGAGGGAAGAATCACACGGGACATTGAAGACAAGATATACAGAGGGAAGAATCACACGGGACATTGAAGACAAGAGATAGAGAGGGGAAGAATCACACGGGACATTGAAGACAAGAGACAAGGGAGATACAGAGGGGAAGAATCACACGGGACATTGAAGACAAGAGATACAGAGGGAAGAATCACACGGGACATTGAAGACAAGAGATACAGAGGGGAAGAATCACACGGGACATTGAAGACAAGAGATACAGAGGGAAGAATCACATGGACATTGAAGACAAGAGATACAGAGGGGATGAGAATCACACAGGACATTGAAGACAAGAGATACAGAGGGAAGAATCACACGACATTGAAGACAAGAGATACAGAAGGGAAGAATCACACGGGACATTGAAGACAAGAGATACAGAGGGGAAGAATCACACGGGACATTGAAGACAAAGATATACAGAGGGAAGAATCACACGGGACATTGAAGACAAGAGATACAGAGGGGAAGAATCACACGGACATTGAAGACAAGATACAGAGGAAGAATCACACAGGACATTGAAGACAAGAGATACAGAGGGAAGAATCACACGGGACATTGAAGACAAAGAGATAGAGGGGAAGAATCACACGGGACATTGAAGACAAGAGATACAGAGGGGAAGAATCACACGGGACATTACAGAGGAAGACAAGAGATAAGAGAAGAGAGGGAAGAATCACACAGGACATTGAAGACAAGAGATACAGAGGGGAAGAATCACCCGGGACATTGAAGACAAGAGATACATAAGGGAATAATCACACGGGACATTGAAGACAAGATATACAGAGGGGGGAAGAATCACACGGGACATTGAAGACAAGAGATACAGAGGGGAAGAACACACTTTGAAGGGACAGGGAAGAACAAGATACAGAAGGGAAGAACAACACGGGACATTGAAGACAAGAGATAGAGAGGGAAGAATCACACGGGACATTGAAGACAAAGAGATACACAGGGAAGAATCACACGGGACATTGAAGACAAGAGATACAGAGATACAGATTGAAGGGGAAGAATCACACGGGACATTGAAGACAAGAGATACAGAAGGGAAGAATCACACAAGGACAGTGAAGACATTGAAACAAGAGATACAGAAGGGAAGAATCACACGGGACATTGAAGACAAGAGACAGAGGGGAAGAATCACACGGGACATTGAAGACAAGAGATACAGAGGAAGAATCACACGGACATTGGACGTGAAACACGGACATTGAAGAGAGACAGAGGGGAAGAAATCACACAAGAGATAGGACAGGGAAGACATATTGGAAGACAAGAGATACAGAGGGGAAGAATCACACGGGACATTAGCAAAGATACAGAAGGGAAGAATACAGAGAGAGACAAGGAAGAATTACAGGGGGACATTGAAGAGACAAGAGATACACAGGGGGAAGAATCACACGGGACATTGAAGACAAGAGATACAGAGGGGAAGAATCACACGGGACATTGAAGACAAGAGATACAGAAGGGGGAAGAATTGAAGACAAGAGAGACATTGAAGAACAAGAGATACAGAAGACAAGAATCACAGGGAAGGGAACACACGAAGAAAAGAGATACAGAGGGAAGAATCACACGGGACATTGAAGACATCACACGGAGATACAGAGGAAGAAGAACACGGGACATTGAAGACAAGAGACAGGAGGGGGAAAAGAAAAATTACACGGGACAAGAGTTAGAGGGGAAGACAAGAGACAAGAGAGAGGGAAGAATCACACGGGACATTGAAGACAAGAGATACAGAGGGAAGAAGAATCGGAGACAGAGGGAAGAAGACAAGACAAGAGATACAGAGGGGAAGAATCACACGGGACATTGAAGAAGAGAGACAGAGGGGAAGAAGAATCACACGGGACATTGAAGGAAGAGAATACAGAGGGAAGAATACAGGGGAAGAATGGGACATTAAAGAGATACAGAGGGAAGAATCACACGGGACATTGAAGACAAGAGATACAGAGGGAAGAAATCGACATGGGGAAGACACAAGACACAGACAAGAAGACGGGACATTGAAGACAAGAGATACAGAGGAAGAAGAATCACACGGGACATTAGAGAGGGAAGAAAGACGAAGAAGATACAGAGGGAAGAATCACACGGGACATTGAAGACAAGAGATACAGAAGGGAAGAATCACACGGGACATTGAAGACAAGAGATAGAGAGGGGAAGAATCACACGACATATTGAAGACAAGAGATACAGAGGGAAGAATCACGAGACATTGAAGAAGACAAGAGACAGAGGGAAGAATCACACGAGACATTGAAGACAAGAGACACAGAGGGGAAGAATAACGGGGACATTGGAAGACAAGAGACACAGAGGGGAAGAACAACACGGGACATTGAAGACAAGAGATACAGAGGGGAAGAATCACACGGGACATTGAAGACAAGAGACACAGGGGGGAAGAACGACACGGGACAGGGGACACGGCACAAGACAAGATACAGAGGGGAAGAACACACGGGACATTGAAGACAAGAGACAGACGGGGGAAGAATAACAGAGGGTAAGAACATTGGGACAGGAAGACAAGAGATACAGAGGAAGAATAACACGGGACATTGAGAGACAAGAGATACAGAGGGGAAGAATCACATGAGATATTGAAGACAAGAGATACAGAAGGGAAGAATAACACGGGACATTGAAGACAAGAGATAGAGAGGGGAAGAATCGAAGACAAGGACACAAGGAAGAATAAAGGACAAGAGAGACAAGAGATAGAGCGGGGAAGAATAACACGGGAGGAAGAAGATACAGAGGGAAGGACATTGAAGACAAGAGATACAGAGGGAAGAATCACATGGACATTGAAGACAAGAGACAGAGGGAAGAAACACATGGGGAATATTGAAGACAAAGAGACAGAGGGGAAGAATCTACACGGGACATTGAAGACAAGAGATAGAGAGGAAGAATAAAACGGGACATTGAAGACAAGAGAGAGAGGGGAAGAATCACATGGGACATTGAAGACAGAGATACAGAGGGAAGAACATGGGACATTGAAGACAAGAGATAGAGAGGGAAGAAAGAGAGAGAGAGAGGAAGAATCAACGACAGAAGACAAGAGGGGAAGAATCACGGGACATTGAAGACAAGAGGGACAGGGAAGAATCACATCGGGACATTGAAGACAAGAAAGAAGGGAAGAATCACGGGACAGACAAGAGGAAGAAGAACACGAGACATTGGAAGACAAGAGATACAGAAGGGAAGAATCACACGGGACATTGAAGACAAAGAGATACAGAGGGGAAGAATCACACGAGACATTGAAGACAAGAGATACAGAGGGAAGAATCACACGGGACATTGAAGACAAGAGATAGTGGAAGGAAGAATGACGGGACACAAGACAGAGGAGGGACAATGAGATTGAAGACAAGAGATACAGAGGGAAGAATCATTGTCGGGACATTGAAGACAAGATGGATGGGAAGAATCACACGGACATTGAAGACAAGAGACAGAAGGAAGAATCACATCGGACATTAAAAGACAAGAGATACAGAAGGAAGAAACACAATAAGACAAGAGATAGAGTGGGAAGAACAAGAGAAGACAAGAGATACTGAGGGAAGAATCACACGAGACATTGAAGACAAGAGATACAGAAGGAAGAATCACACGGGACATTGAAGACAAGAGACAGAGGGAAGAATCGAGATATTGAAGACAAGAGACAGATGGAAGAATCAAGAGATTAAAGACAAGAGATACAGAAGGGAACCACACGGGACATTGGAAGACAAGAGATACAGAGGAAGAATCACACGGGACATTGAAGAGAAGAGACGGAGGGAAGAGATACAGAGGGGCAAATCATAAGACGTTGAAGACAAAGAGATACAGAAGGAAAATAAGATTGAAGATGGAGAGGGGAAGAATCTGATGGACATTGGAAGACAAGAGATACAGAGGGGAAGAATCACGACATTGAAGACAAGATATACAGAGGGGAAGAATCACACGGGACATTGGAAGACAAGAGAGAGAGGGGAAGAATCACACGAAGACAAGAGATACAGAGGGGAATAATCACACGGGACATTGAAGACAAGAGATACAGAGGGAAGAATCACATGGGACATTGAAGACAAGAGATAGAGAAGGGACGAATTACACATTGAAGGCAAGACATGAGGGAAGAATCACACGGCATATTGAATACAGAAGGGAAGAATCACACGGGACATTGAAGACAAGAGATACAGAGGGGAAGAACACACGGGACATTGAAGACAAGATACATAAGGGAAGAATCACACGACATATTGAAGACAAGAGAGATACAGAGGAAGAAAGAATCACACGAGACAGAGGGGAAGAATCACACGGATAAAGACAAGAGAGACAGAGGAAGAATCACACGGGACAGTGAAGACAAGAGATACAGAGGAAGAATCACACGGGATATTGAAGACAAGAGACAGAAGGGAAGAATCACACGGGACATTAAAGACAAGAGATACAGAGGGGAAGAATCACACGGGATATTGGAAGACAAGAGACAGAGGGAAGAATCACACGAGATATTGAAGACAAGAGATACAGAGGGAAGAATCACACGGGGACAGTGAAGACAAGAGATACAGAGGGGAAGAGAATCACACGAGATTGAAGACAAGAGACAGAGGGGAAAAATCACACGAGATATTGAAGACAAGATACAGAGGGGAAGAATCACATGGGGACATTGAAGACAAGAGACAGAGAGGGGGAAGAATCACACGGACATTGAGACAAGAGACAGAGGGGAAGAATCACACGTGACATTGAAGACAAAAGGAAGAATACAGTTGAAGGAGATGAGGGAAGAACACGGACACATTGAAGACAAGAGATACAGAGGGGAAGAATCACACGATATTGAAGACAAGATACAAGAAGGAAGAATCAATGGGACATTGAAGACAAGAGAGATACAGAGGGAAGAATCACACGAGGAAGACATTGAAGACAAGAGAACACGGGAGAAGGACAGAGGAAGAATCACACCGGACATTGGAAGACAAGAGATACAGAAGGGGAAGAATCACACGGGACATTGAAGACAAGAGGATACAGAAGTGAAGAATCACACGGGACATTGAAGACAAGAGCGGGAAGAAATCACACGAGATATTGAAGACAAAGAGAGGGAAGTAGAGGGGACAGAACTAGACAGAGAGGGAATCACACGGACAAGAGACACAGAGGGAAGAAACACGGGACATTGAAGACAAGAGATACAGAGGGAAGAATCACACACATTGAAGACAAGAGATACAGAGGGGAAGAATCACATAATGAGATATTGAAGACAAGAGACAGAAGGGAAGAATAAAACGGGACATTGGAAGACAAGAGATAGAGGGAAGAATCACACGATATTGAAGACAAGAGATACAGAGGGGAAGAACACGAGATATTGAAGACAGAGGGGATGAATCACACGGGACACGAAGACAAGAGAGACAAGGGAAAGAATCACACGAGACATTGAAGACAAGAGATACAGAGGGAAGAATCACGACATTAAGGACAGAGGGAAGAACAAGACATTGAAGCTACAGGGACAAGGGAAGAACGACACGGACCTGAAGACAAGAGACAGAGGGAAGAATCACGGGACATTGAAGACAAAGAGATACAGAGGGAAGAATCACACGGACATTGGAAGACAAGAGATAGAGAGGGGAAGAATCATCGGGATATTGGAAGACAATAGATACAGAAGGAAGAATCACACGGACATTGAAGACAAGAGAGATACAGAGAGGAAGAATCACACGGGACATTGAAGACAAGAGATACAGAGGGGAAGAATCACACGGACATTGAAGACAAGAGACACAGAAGGAAGAATCACACGGGACAAGGAAGACAAGAGATACAGAGGGAAGAATCACACCGACATTGAAGACAAGAGATACAGAGGGAAGAAGAACTACACGGGACAGAAGACAAGAGATACAGGAAGTGAAGAATCACACGGGACATTGAAGACAAAAGAGATACAGAGGGGAAGAATCACACGACACACGAAGACAAGAGAGACAGAAGGGAAGAATCACACGGGACATTGAAAGACAAGAGACAGAGGGGAAGAATCACACGACATTAAAGACAAGAGACACAGAGGGGAAGAATCACACGGTCATTGAAGGGACAGAAGGGAAGACAAGCCATTAAAGACAGAAGGGAAGAATCACGAGACATTGGAAGACAATAGAGGAAGGGAAGAATCACACGGGACATTGGAAGACAAGAAGACAAGAGATACAGGGGAAGAATCACACCGGACATTGGAAGACAAGAGACAGAGGGGAAGAATCACGGGACATTGATGACAAGATACAGAAGTGAAGAATCACACGGGACATTGAAGACAAGAGATAGAGAAGGGAAGAATCACGATATTGAAGACAAGAGGACAGAGGGGAAGACAAGACAGAAGACAGAGGGGAAGAATCACACGGGACATTGAAGACAGAGATACAAGGGAAGACGGATGAAGACAGAAGGGAAGAATCACCCGGGACAGTGAAGACAAGAGATACAGAGGGGAAGAATCACACGTATAGTGAAGACAAGAGATACAGAGGGAAGAATCACACGACGGGACATTGAAGACAATGGGACATTACAGAGAGAGAGGAAAGACACGAGATATTGAAGACAAGAGATACAGAGGGAAGAATCACACGGGGACATTGGACAAGAGATACAGAGGGAAGAATCACGGGACATTGAAGACAAAGATGGAGGGAAGAATCACATAGGACATTGAAGACAAGAGATTCAGAGGGAAGAATCACATCGGGACATTGAAGAAAGAGATACAGAGGGAAGAATCACACGGCATATTGAAGACAAGAGATACAGAGGGGAAGAATCAATCGACACGGGACAAGAGATACAGAGGAAGACAAGAGATACAGAGGGGGAAGAATCACACGGGACATTGAAGACAAGAGATACAGAGAGGAAGAATATTGACAAGGGAAGAATCAAGGGAAGAATCACAGGACATTGGAAGACAAGAGACAGAGGGAAGAATCACACGGGGACATGAAGACAAAGACAGAGAGATGACATTGAAGACAAGAGGAGGAAAATCACACGGGACATTGAAGACAAGAGATACAGAAGTGAAGAATCACACGGGACAGTGAAGACAAGAGATAGAGAGATACAGAGGAAGACACAAGAATCACACGAAGAATCACATTGAAGACAAGAGATACAGAGGGGAAGAATCACACGGGACATTAAAGACAAGAGATACAGAGGAAGAATCAATCACAAGAGACATAGGGGAAAAGACACGGGACAGTGAAGGGAAGGAATCACGAGATATTGAAGACAAGAGATACAGAGGGAAGAATCACACGGACAGTGAAGACAAGAGATACAGAAGGAAGAGGGGAAGAATGAGAGGGGAAGAACACGAGATACAAAGACAAGAGACACAGAGGAAAATCACTGGGAGATATTGAAGACAAGAGATACAGAGGGAAGAATCACACACGAGATATTGGAAGACAAGAGACAGAGGGGAAGAATCACACGACATTGAAGACAAGAGATACAGAGGGAATCACACGGACATTGAAGACAAGAGACACAGAAGGAAGAATCACATGGGTCATTGAAGACAAAGAGATACAGAGGGGAAGATATTGAAGACAAAAGAGATACTTTGAAGAACAAGAGATGAAGAGAGACAGAGAAGAATCACACGACACAAGAGATACAGAGGGGAAGAATCACACAAGAGAGAGAGGGGAAGAATCACACGGGACGTTGAAGACAAGAGATACAGAAGGGAAGAATCACACGACATTGAAGACAAGAGACACAGAGGGAAGAATCACAGATATTGAAGACAATAGAGAGGGGAAGAATCACACGGGACATTGAAGACAAGAGATACAGGGAAGAATCACACCGGACATTGGGAAGACAAGAGACAGAGGGGAAGAATCACACGGAAGAAGACAAGAGATAAAGGAAGAATCACACGGGACATTGAAGACAAGAGATAGAGAAGGAAGAATCACAGATATTGGAAGACAAGGAGATACAGAGGGGAAGAATCACGGGGACATTGGAAGACAAGAGATAGAGAGGAAGAATCACGGGACATTGAAGACAAGAGACACAGAGGGGAAGAACGACGGACATTGGGAATATAAGAGATATATAGAGGGAAGAATCACACGGGACATTGAAGACAAGAGATACAGAGGGGAAGAATCACACGGGACATTGAAGACAAGAGATACAGAAGGGAAGAATCACACGGGACATTGAAGACAAGAGATAGAGAGGGAAGAATCACACGAGATATTGAAGACAAGAGATACAGAGGGGAAGAATCACACGGGACATTGAAGACAAGAGATACAGAGGGGAAGAATCACACGGGACATTGAAGACAAGAGATACAGAGGGGAAGAATCACACGGGACATTGAAGACAAGATTGAAGAACAACGGGACATTGAAGACAAAGAGATAGAGAAGGGAAGAATCACACGAGACATTGAAGACAAGAGACACAGAGGAAAGAATCACACGGGACATTGAAGACAAGAGATACAGAGGGGAAGAATCACACGGGACATTGAAGACAAGAGATACAGAGGGAAGAATCACACGGGACATTGAAGACAAGAGATACAGAGGGAAGAAATGGGACAGTGAAGACAAGAGATACAGAGGGAATAATCACACGAGACATTGAAGACAAGAGATAAGGAAGAATCACACGGGACAGAAGACAAGAGATACAGAAGGAAGAATCACACGGGACATTGGGAAGACAAGGGAAGAGACAAGAGAGGGAAGAATCACACGGGATAGGGAAGACAAGAGATACAGAGGGGAAGAAGAACGGACATGAAGACAAGAGACAGGGAAGAATCACAGAGATTGAAGACAAGAGACAGAGGGAAGAATCACACGGGACATTGAAGACAGAGAGATACAGAGGGAAGAATCACACGGGACTTGAAGACAAGAGATAGAGAAGGGAAGAATCACACGGACATTGAAGACAAGAGATACAGAGGGAAGAATCACACGGGACATTGAAGACAAGAGATACAGAGGGGAAGAATCACACGACATTGAAGACAAGAGATACAGAGGGGGAAGAATCACACGACATTGAAGACAAGAGATACAGAGAAGGGAAGAATCACGGGACATTGAAGACAAGAGACAGAGGGAAGAATCACACAGACAAGACAAGAGAGAGAGGGGAAGAATCACACGAGATATTGAAGACAAGAGATACAGGGGAAGAATCATTAATGGGACATTGAAGACAAGAGATATAGAGGGAAGAATCACAGAATCACAGAAGAAGAATCACGGACATTGAAGACAAGAGATAGAGAGGGGAAGAATCACACGAAATATTGAAGACAAGAGATAGAAGGAAGAATCACACGGGACATTGAAGACAAGAGATAGAGGGGAAGAATCACACGGGACCATTGAAGACAAGAGATACAGAAGGAAGAATCACACGGGACATTACAAGAGACAGAGGGAAGAATCACACGGGACATTGAAGACAAGAGATACAGAGGGGAAGAATCACACGGGACATTGAAGACAAGAGATACAGAGGGGAAGAATCACACGGGACATTGAAGACAAGAGATACAGAGGGGAAGAATCACACGGGACATTGAAGACAAGAGATACAGAGGGGAAGAATCACACGAGATATTGAAGACAAGAGATACAGAGGGGAAGAATCACACGGGACATTGAAGACAAGAGATACAGAGGGGAAGAATCACGGGGAAGAAGACAAGAGATAGAGAGGGAAGAATCACACGGGACATTGAAGACAAGAGATACAGAGGGGAAGAATCACACGGGACATTGAAGACAAGAGATACAGAGGGGAAGAATCACACGGGACAGTGAAGACAAGAGATACAGAGGGGAAGAATCACACGAGATATTGAAGACAAGACAAGAGATAAGACAAGAGGGAAGAATCACACGGGACATTGAAGACAAGACATTGAAGACAAGATTCAGAGGAAGAATCACACGGGACATTGAAGACAAGAGATACAGAGGGGAAGAATCACACGAGATATTGAAGACAAGAGATAGGGAGGAAGAATCACGGGACATTGGAAGACAAGAGATACAGAGGGAAGAATCACACGGGGACATTGAAGACAAGATACAGGGAAGAACTTTCCCACACGGGACATTGAAGACAAAGAGAGACAGAGGAAGAATCACACGGGACATTGAAGACAAAGACAGAGGGAAGAGACATTGAAGACAAGAGACAGAGGGAAGAATCACACGGATAGTGAAGACAAGAGACAGAGGGGAAGAACCACACCGGACATTGAAGACAAGAGATAGGGAGGGAAGAAATCACACGGGACACTGAAGACAAGAGATGAAGTGAAGAATCACACGACATTGAAGACAAGAGATAGAGAAGGAAGAACAACGAGATATTGAAGACAAGACAGGAGGGAAGAATCACACGGACATTGGAAGACAAGAGATACAGAGGGAAGAATCAAGACGGGACATTGAAGACAAGAGATACAGAGGGGAAGAATCACACGGGTCATTGGAAGACAAGACAGAGGGAAGAATCACACGGGACAGCAAGACAAGAGATACAGAGGGGAAGACCTACGAGATATTGGAACATGTAAGAGACAAGGAGGGAAACCCCACGGGACACAAAGACAAGAGATACAGAAGGGAAGAACTACACGTATTGGAAGACAAGAGATAGAGAGGGGAAGAACTCACACGAGATATTAAGACAAGAGATACAGAGGGGAAGAATCACACGAGACATTGAAGACAAGAGATACAGAGGGAAGAATCACACGGGACATTGAAGACAAGAGATACAGAGGGGAAGAATCACACGGGACATTGGAAGACAAAAAGAGATACAGAGGGAAGAATCACACGGGACATTGAAGACAACAGATACAGAAGGAAGAATACAGAGACAAGGATACAGAAGGGAATCACACAGGACATTGAAGACAAGAGATACAGAGGGGAAGAATCACACGAGACATTGAAGACAAAGAGATACAGAAGGAAGAATCACAAGGGGAAGACAAGAGATACAGAGGGAAGAATCACACAGGACATTGAAGACAAGAGATACAGAGGGAAGAATCACACGGGACATTGAAGACAAAGAGATACAGAAGGGAAGAATCACACGGGACATTGAAGAGAAAGAGAATACACAGGGAAGAATCACAGAGGGACTTTGAAGACATTGAAAAGAGATACAGAGGGGAAGAATCACACGGGACATTGAAGACAAGAGATACAGAGAGGGAAGAATCACACGGGACATTGAAGACAAGAGATACAGAGGGAAGAATCACACGGGACATTAGAGGGGAAGACAAGAGATACAGAAGGAAGAATCACACGGGACATTGAAGACAAGAGATACAGAGGGGAAGAATCACACGGGACATTGAAGACAAAGATACAGAGGGGAAGAATCACACGGGATACAAGAGAGGGAAGAATCACACAGGACATTGAAGACAAGAGATACAGAGGGGAAGAATCACACGGGACATTGAAGACAAGAGATAGAGAGGGAAGAATCACACGGGACATTGAAGACAAGAGAGACAAGGGGAAGAATCACAGGGGAAGACAAGAGATACAGAGGGAAGAATCACACGGGACATTGAAGACAAGAGACAGAGGGAAGAATCACACGGACATTGAAGACAAGAGATACAGAGGGAAGAATCACACGGGACATTGAAGACAAGAGAATCACACGGGACAGGGAAGAATCACACGGGACATTGAAGACAAGAGATACAGAGGGAAGAATCACACACGGGACATTGAAGACAAGAGATACAGAGGGAAGAATCACACGGGACATTGAAGACAAGAGATACAGAGGGAAGAATCACGGGACATTGAAGACAAGAGATACAGAGGAAGAACAACGGGACAGTGAAGACAAGATATACAGAGGGAAGAATCACACGACATTGAAGACAAGATACAGAGGGAAGAATCACACGGGACAGTGAAGACAAGAGATACAGAGGGGAAGAATCACACGGGACATTGAAGACAAGAGATACAGAGGGAAGAATCACAGGACATTGAAGACAAGAGATACAGAGGGAAGAATCACACGGGACATTACAGAGGGGAAGAATCACACGGACATTGACAAGAGATACAGAGGGGAAAAAACACGAGATACAGACAAGAGATACAGAGGGAAGAATCACACGGGACATTGAAGACAAGAGATACAAAGAAGAATACAAGAGACAGAGGGAAGAATCACACAGGACATTGAGACAAAGAGATACAGAGTGGAAAGAATCACAGGACATTAGAAGATAAGATATACAGAGGAAAAGAATCACACAGGACGTGAAGACAAAGATATACAGAGGAAGAATCTTGGACATTGAGAATAAAGAGATACAGAGGAAGAATCTGAGAGACATTGAATAATGAATACAGAAGGGAAGAAATATACGGGACATACAGAAGACCAAGATGAGGGAAAGAATCACACAGGACATTGAAGACAAGAGATACAGAGGAGAAGAATCACACAGGACGTGAGACCAAAGAGATACAGAGGAAAATCACGAGATGTGAAGACAAAGTATACAGAGGGAAAGAATCACACGGGACAGTGAAGACAAGAGATACAGAAGGAAGAATCACACGAGATAACCGAAGACAAGAGATACAGAGGAGAAAAAATCACACAGGACATTGAAGACAATAGATACAGAAGACAAGAATTACAGAGGGAAGAATCACACAGGACAGATATAAGATACAGAGGAAGAATCACACAGGACATTGAAGACAAGAGATACAGAGGGAAAGAATCACAGGACAGTGAAGACAAATATACAGAGGAAGAATCACAGGACAGTGAAGACAAGATATAGAGAGGGGAAGAATCACACAGGACAGTGAAGACAAAGATATACAGAGGAAAGAATCACAGGACATTAAAGACAAAGGGATACAGAGGAAGAAACACACAGGACATTGAAGACAAAAAGAATACAGAGGGAAGATCCACACAGGATATTGAAGACAAGAGGAAGAATCACACGGGACATTGAAGATACAGGGAAGAATCACACAGGACATTGAAGACAAAGAGATACAGAGGAAGAATCACAGGACATTGAAGACAAAAGATATACAGAGGAAGAATCACACAGGACAGTGAAGACAAAGAGATACAGAGGGAAGAATCACAGGACATTGATGAAAAAGATATGAGAGGAAGAAATCACACAGGACAGTGAAGACAAGATATACAGAGGGAAGAATCACACAGGACATTGAAGACAAAGATACAGAGGGAAGAATCATACAGGACATTGAGACAAAGATATACAGGGAAAATCACACAGGACATTGAAGACAAAGATATACAGGGAAAGAATCACACAGGACATTGAAGACAAGAAGATACAGAGGGGAAGAATCACACAGGACATTGAAGAAAAAGATATACAGAAGGAAGAATCACACAGGACAGTGAAGACAAAAGAGATACAGAGGGAAGAAAACACAGGACCCAGAAGACAAAAAGATACTGAGGGAAAATCATCACAGGATATTGAAGACAAAGAGATACAGAGGAAAATCACAGGACATTGAAGACAATAGATACAAGGGAAAGAATCAACACAGGACATTGAGAGACCAAAAAGAGATACAGAGGGAAGAATCACACAGGATATTGAAGACAAAAATACAGATGGGGAAGAATCACGAGATATTGAAGACAAAGAGATACAGAGGTAAGAGGAAAACACTGGGACATTGAAGACAAGGAGATACAGAGGGAAAATCACACGGGACATTGAACACAAGAGATAGAAAGGAAGAATAACTTTGGGACATTGAAGACAAAGAAGATACAGCAGGAAGAATCACAGACGGACGTGAAAACAGATATACAGAGGGAAGATCACACAGGACGTGAAGACAAGAGATACAGAGGGAAGAATCACGGGACGGGACATTGATATACAAAAGAATCACAGGACAGAAGACAAAGGATACAAGTGGAAGAATACAAGGACATTGAAGGGGAAGAAATACACAGGGACATCACACAGGACATTGAAGGCAGATAGAGAGGAAGAATCACAGGATATTGAGACAAAAGAGATACAAGGGAAAAATCACACAGAACATTGAAGACAAATAGATACAGAAGGGGGGAAGAATCACACAGGACTTTGAAGACAAGAGATACAGAGGGGATGAATCACAGGACATTGAAGACAAGAGATACAGAAGGGAAGAATCACAGGACGTGAAGACAAGAGATACAGAGGGAAGAATCACTGGGACATTGAAGACAAAAGATACAGAGGGGAAGAATCCAGGGACAGTGAAGACAAGAGATACAGAAGGAAGAATCACACGGACATTGAAGACAAGGATACAGAGGGAAAAAATCACAGGAGATGAAGACAAAGAGATACAGAAGGGAAGAATTACACGGACATTGTGAGACAAAGATATACAGAGGAAGAATCACACAGGACATTAGAATAAAGAGATACAGAGGGAAAATCACACGGATATTGAAGACAAAAATGCAGAGGAAGAAATCACAGGACAGTGAGGACCAAGTGAAGGGAAGAATCACACAGGACAGGGAAGAATCAGAGGGGACACTGGACATTAAAGACAAGATATAGAGGGGGAAGAATCACACGGGACAGTGAAGACAAGATGAGATGAGGGAAGAATCACAGGACATTGAAGACAAAGAAGATACAGAGGGAAGAATCACACAGGGACAGAGACAACAAAGATACAGAGGGGGAAGAATCACACGGGACATTGAAGACAAAGATATACCAGAGGGAAGAATCACAGGGACATTGAAGACAAGAGATACAGGGGGAAGAATCACATCAACGGGACATTGAAGACAAAAGAGATACAGAGGGGAAGAATCACGGGACATTGAAGACAAAGAGATACAGAGGGGAAGAATCACACGGGACATTGAAGACAAGAGATACAGAGGGGAAGAACAGGACATTGAAGACAAGAGATACAGAGGGGAAGAATTACACGGGACAGTGAAGATTATAGAGGGAAGAACACACGGGACATTGAAGACAAGAGATAGAGAGGGGAAGAATCACACATTGGACATTGAAGGACAAAGAGATACAGACAAGGGAGGGAAGAATCACACGGGACATTGAAGACAAAGAGATACAGAGGGAAGAATCACACAGGACATTGAAGACAAGAGACAAGGGAAGAATACAGAAGGGAAGAATCACACGGGACATTGAAGACAATAGATACAAGGGAAGACGGACATGGAAGACAAGAGAGGGAAGAATCACACGGGACATTGAAGACAAGGGGAAGAATACAGAGACAAGAGGAAGAATCACACGGGACATTGAAGACAAGAGATAGAGAGGGAAGAATCAACGGGACATTGAAGACAAGAGATACAGAGGGAAGAATCACACAGGACATTGAAGACAAACGGGAAGAATACAGAGGGAGAAGAATCACACGGGACATTGAAGACAAGAGATACAGAGGGAAGAATCACACGGGACATTGAAGACAAGAGATACAGAGGGGAAGAATCACACGGGACTTTGAAGACAAGAGATACAGAAGGGAAGAATCACGGGACATTGAAGACAAGAGATACAGAGAGGGAAGAATCACACGGGACATTGAAGACAAGAGATACAGAGGGGAAGAATCACACGGGACATTGAAGACAAGAGATACAGAGGGGAAGAATCACACAGGACATTGAAGACAAGAGATACAGAGGGGAAGAATCACGGGACATTGAAGACAAAGAGAGGAGGAAGAATCACACGGACATTGAAGACAAAAAGAACTCTAGAGGGAAGAATCACACAGGACATTGAAGACAAAAGAATCACACAGGACATTGAAGACAAAGAGATAGAGGAAGAATCACACAGGACATTAGAGACAAAGAGATACAGAGGAAAAATTACACAGGACAGTGAAGACAAATATAGAGAGGAAAGATCTACAGGACAGTGAAGACAAGAGATAGAGAGGAAGAATCACACAGGATATTACAAAGACAAAGAGATACAGAGGAAAATCACACAGGACGTGAAGACAAAAGATACAGGGAAGAATCACACGGGACGTGAAGACCAAAGATATACAGAGGAAGAAATCACAGATGTGAAGACAAAAGAATAAGGAGAGATCCATACAGGACAAAAATACAAGGAAGAAATCACAGGACATTGAAGAACAAGATATACAGAGGGAAGAATCACACAGGACAGTGAAGACAAAGATATACAGAGGGAAGAATCACACAGGACATTGAAGACCAAAAGATACAGAGGGAAGAATCACACAGGACAGTGAAGACAAAGATATAGAGGGAAGAATCACACAGGACATTACTGAAGACAAAGAATACAGAGGGAAAGAAACACACAGGACATTGAGACAAAAAAGAGATACAGGTGAAGAGAATCACACGGATATTGAAGACAAAGAGATACAAGGGGAAGAATCACACAGGACATTGAAGACAAAGAGATACAGGGGAAGAATCACGAGGACATTGAAGACAAGAGATACAGGAAGAATCACAGGACATTGAAGACAAAGAGATACAGGGAAGAATCACACAGGACATTGACAAAGACAAGAATCTGGGGGAAGAATCTAACAGGACATTGAAGACAATAGATACAGAGGAAGACAAAACACAGGGGAAGAATCATTACGGGACATTGACAAAGATATACAGAGGGAAGAATCACACAGGACATTCAAGACAAGGGATATACAGAGGAAGAAGAGATACAGGGGACATTAGGAAGACAAAAAGATACAGGGGAAGAATCACACGGGACATTGAAGACAAGATATACAGGGAAGAATCACACAGGACATTGAAGACAAGATACAGATATACAGGGAAGAATCACAGGACTTTGAAGACAAAAGAGATACAGAGGGGAAGAATCACACAGGACATTGAAGACAAAGAGATACAGAGGGAAGAATCACAGGATATTGAAGACAAAGAGATACAGAGGGGGAAAATCACACAGGACATTGAAGACAAGAGATACAGAGGGAAGAATCACACAGGAGACATTGAAGACAAGATATACAGAGGGGAAGAATCACAGGACATTGAAGGAAGAAGAAACACACGGGGGACATAGATACAAGGGAAGAAGAACAAAGAGATACAGGGGGGAAGAATCACACGAGATATTGAAGACAAATAGATACAGAGGGAAGAATCGAGATAACATTGAAGACAAGAGGACAGAATCACACGGGACAAAGACAAAGATACAGAGGGAAGAATCACAGGACATTGAAGACAAAGATATGCAGGGGAAAAATCACACAGGACATTGAAGACAAGAGATACAGGGGGAAGAATCACACGGGATATTGAAGACAAAGATATACATAGGGGAAGAATCACACGGGACATTGAAGACAAGAGATACAGAAGGGAAGAATCACACAGGATGTGAAGACAAAGATACAGAGGGAAGAATCACTGGGACGTGAAGACAAGAGATACAGAGGGAAGAATCACACAGGACATTGAAGACAGACAGAGGAAGAACACGAGATAATGAAGACAAAAGAGATACAGAAGAAGAACACGGGACATTGAGACAAGAGATACAGAGGGAAGAATCACACAGGACAAAGGACATTGAAGAAAAGAGATACAAGGGACACGGGAAGAAGAAGACAGAGGAAAGAATCACACGGGACATTGAAGACAAGATACAGGGGGAAGAATTAACGGGATGAAGACAAGATACAGAGGGAAGAATCAGAGGACATTGAAGACAGAATAAGGACATTGAAGACAAAGAGATACAGAGGGAAGAATCACACGGGACATTGAAGACAAGAGATACAGAGGGGAAGAATCACAAGAGACATTGAAGACAAGATATACAGATACAGGGAAGAATCACACGGGACATTGAAGACAAGAGATACAGAGGGAAGAATCACACAGGACATTGAAGGACAAAGAGATACAGAGGGAAGAATCACACGGGACATTGAAGACAATAGATACAGAGGAAGAAGAACAGGACAGTGAAGACAAGATACAGGAGAATCACACAGGACATTGAAGACAAGAGATACAGAGGGGAAGAATCACACAGGACATTGAAGACAAAGATATAGAGAGGGAAGAATCACACGGGACGTGAAGACAAGATATACAGAGGGAAGAATCACACGACATTGAAGACAAAGAGATACAGAGGGGAAGAATCACACGGGACAGTGAAGACAAAAGAGATACAGGGGAAGAATCACACAGGACTTTGAAGACAAAGAGATACAGGGGAAGAATCACACAGGACATTGAAGACAAGAGATACAGGGAGGAAGAACACAGGACAGTGAAGACAATAGATACTGAGGGAAAGAATAACACGGGACATTGAAGACAAGAGATACAGAGGGAAGAATCACACAGGACATTGAAGACAAGATATACACAGGGGAAGAATCACACAGGACATTGAAGACAAGAGATACAGAGGGAAGAATCACAGGACATTGAAGACAAGATATACAGAGGGAAGAATCACGAGACAAGAGATACAGAGGGGGGGGAAGAATCACACAGGACATTAAAAGACAAGAGATACAGAGGGGAAGAATCACACAGGACAAGATATACAGAGGGAAGAATCCTTTGGGACAAGACAAAGATACAGAGGGGAAGAACACACAAGGGACATTGAAGATGAAGACAAGAGATACAGAGGGAAGAATCACACAGGACATTGAAGACAAGAAACAGAGGGAAGAATCACACAGGACATTGAAGACAAAGAGATACAGAGGGGAAGAATCACACAGGACATTGAAGACAAGAGATACAAGGGGGGACAAAGACAAAGATATACAGAGGGAAGAACACAGGACATTGAAGACAAGAGATACAGAAGGGAAGAATCACACAGGACATTGAAGACAAGAGATACAGAGGGAAGAATCACACAGGACATTGAAGACAAGAGATACAGAGGGAAGAATCACACGGGACAGTGAGACAAGAGATACAGAGGGGAAGAATTACACGGGACAGAAAAGACAAAGACACAGAGGGAAGAACACACGGGACATGAAGACAAGAGATACAGGGGAAGAACACACAAGGGACAGATTGAAGGACATTAAAGACAAAGATACAGAGGGAAGAATCACACGGGGGACAAGATATACAGAGGGGAACAACATTTAAGACAATACAGAGGGGAAGAATCACACAGGACATTGAAAAAAAACAGTGGGGAGATACAGGAAAAGAATCACACAGGACATTGAAGACAAGAGATACAGAGGAAGAATAACACAGGACATTGAAGACAAAGAGATAGAGAGGGAAGAATTACACAGGACAGTGAAGGATATACAGAGGGGAAGACACAGGACATTGAAGACAAAGAGATACAGAGGGGAAGAATCATTACAGGACATTGAAGACAAGAGAGAGACAGAGGAAGAATCACACGGGACATTGAAGACAAGATATACAGAGGGGAAGAATCACACGGGACATTGAAGACAACAGACAGGGGAAGAATCACAGGACATTGAAGACAAGAGATACAGAGGGGAAGAATCACACGGGACATTGAAGACAATAGATACAGAGGGAAGAATCACACGGACATTGAAGACAAGAGATACAGAGGGAAGAAATCACACAGGACATTGAAGACAAGAGATACAGAGGGGAAGAAGAACACAGGACTTTGAAGACAAGAGATACAGAGGGGAAGAATCACACGAGGACATACAGAGGGAAGACAAGAGACAGAGAGGGGAAGAATCACACAGGACATTGAAGACAAGAGATACAGAAGGGAAGAATCACACGGGACATTGAAGACAAAGAGATACAGAGGGAAGAATCACACGGGAAGACAAGAGATACAAGGAAGAATACACGGGACAGGAAGACAAGAGACACAGGGGGAATCACACGGGACATTGAAGAGACAGAGGAAGAAATCACACGGGACATTGAAGACAAGAGATAGAAGACAAGAGATACAGAGGGAAGAATCAATGAGACACGGGACATTGAATACAAGAGATAGAGGGGAAGAATCACACAGGACATTGAAGACAAGACAGAGGGGAAGAATCACACGGGAAGAATCAGACAAGAGGGGGAAGATTGAGACAGTAAAGACAAGATATACAGGGGAAGAATCACACGGGACATTGGAAGACAAGAGTAGGAAGAATCACACGACATAAAGACAAGAGATACAAGGGGAAGAATACACGGGACAGTGGAAGACAAGAAGGGGAATCACACGGGAGCATTAAAGACAAGAGATACAGGGGAGAATCACACAGTGAAGGACATAGAAGGATTAAACGGGACATGACAAGAGACAGAGGATCACACAGGACATTAAAGACAGAGAAGAAATACACGATGACAAGAGATACAGAGGAAGAATCACACGGGACATTGGAAGACAAGGACGGAAGAATCACACGAGATAGAAGACAAGAGATACAGAGGGAAGAATCGGGACAGTAAAGGACATTGAAGACAAAGGGGAAGAACCACACGACAGGGAAGAATCTACAATGGGACATTGAAGACAAAGAGATACAGAGGGAAGAATTACACAGGGACATTGACAAGAGATCAAGAGATACAGAGGGGAAGAAACGGGACATCACAGAGAGAAGAATCAAGACATTGAAGACAAGAGATGAAGGGAAGAAACACGGGACGGGACGTGAAGAACAAAAACAAGAGACACAGAGGTAAAAGGAAGAATCGAGACACAGAGGGAACACAGGACATTGAAGACACAGAGGAAGAAATACACGGGAGGTAAGACAAAAAGTCACAGGGGAGACATTGAAGACAAAGAGATACAGAGGGAAGTAACCAAGGAGAAAATAGACACAGGAGAATTACGGAAGACAGATGAGGGAACATGGGACAAAAAGAATTACATGGGACATTACAGAGGAAGATATACAGAGGGAAGAATCACGGGACATTAAAGACAAGATATACAGAGGAAGAATCACACGGGACATTGAAGACACAGAAGAATCACACGGGACATTAAAGCAGATATAGAGGGGAAGTTAAATCACACGACACAAAGGACATTGAAGAACACACGACATACAGATACAGAGGAAGAATAAGAATACGAAGGAGATAAGAAGGGAAGAAAAACGGACATTGAAGACAAGAGATAACAGAGGGAAGAATCACGGGACATTGAAGACAAGAGATACAGAGGGGAAGAATCACACAGGACATTGAAGACAAGAGATACAGAGGGAAGAATCACACAGGACATTGAAGACAAGAGATAGAGAGGGAAGAATCACGGGACAGTGAAGACAAGAGATACAGAGGGGAAATGAGACATGGAAGACAAGAGATACAGAGGGAAGAATCACAGGAGACAGGACATTGAAGACGGGACAGAAGACAAAGAGACAGAGGGGAAGAATCACACGGGACATTGAAGACAAGAGATACAGAGGAAGAATCACGACATTGGAGATACATTGAAGACAAAGAGATACAGGGAAGAATCACACAGGACATTGAAGACAAGAGATACAGAAGAAACTTTGAAGACAAGAGATACAGAGAGGGGAGATAATGAAGGAAGAATCACACGGGACATTGAAGACAAGAGATACAGAGGAAGAATCACACAGGACATTGAAGACAAGAGATACAGGGGAAGAATCACACGGGACATTGAAGACAAAGATACAGAGGGAAGAATCACACAGGACATTAAAGACAAGACATACAGGGAAGAATCCGGGACAGAAGACAGGAGAAGAATCACACGAGATACAGAGATACAGAGGGAAAGAATCACACGGGACAGTGAAGACAAGACAAGGGGAAGAATAGGGGGAGGGAAGAATCACTGGACGTGAAGACAAAAGATATACAGAGGGAAGAATCACACGGGACATTGGAAGACAAGAGATAGAGGGAAGAATCAGAGGGGAAGAATCAATACGACAGTGAAGATGAGACATACAGAGGGGAAGAATCACACGACATTGGAAGACAAGAGATACAGAGGGGAAGAATGACACAGTGAAGACGTGAAGACAAGAGATACAGAGGGGAAAAAAACAATGGGACATTGGAAGACAAGAGGAGGGGAAGACACAAGAGATACAGAGGGAAGAAACGACATTGGAAGACAAGAGATAGAGGGAAGAACTACACGACATTGAAGACAAGAGATACAGAGGGAAGAATCACACAGGACATTGAGACATTGGAAAAAAGAGATACAGTGGGGGAAAATCAACGACATTGAAGACAAGAGACACAGAGGGAAGAAGGACATTGAAAGAAGGAAGAACAAGATACATTGGAAGGAGACACAGAGGAAGCTGGGACATTGAAGACAAGAGATACAGAGGGAAGAACGGGACATTGAAGACAAGAAGATACAGAGGGAAGAATCACACGACATTGAAGACAAGAGATACAGAGGGAAAACAAGAGATACAGAGGGGAAGAATCACACGGGACATTGAAGACAAGAGATACAGAGGGGAAGAATCACACAGGACATTGAAGAAACAAAAGAGATACAGAGGGAAGAATCACACAGGACATTGAAGACAAGACAAGATACAGAGGGGGAAGAATCACACAGGACATTGAAGACAAGAGATACAGAGGGAAGAACACAGGACATTGAAGACAAGAGATACAGAGGGAAGAATCACACAAGGACATTGAAGACAAGAGATACAGAGGGGAAGAATCACACGGACATTGAAGACAAGAGATACAGAGGGAAGAATAACACGGGACATTGGAAGACAAGAGATACAGAGGGGAAGAACAGGACATTGAAGACAAAGATAGAAGGGAGGGAAGAACACGGGACATTGAAGACAAGAGATAGAGGGGAAGAATCACACGGGACATTGAAGACAAAGAGGATACAGAAGGAAGAATACACGGGACATTGAAGACAAGAGATACAGAGGGGAAGAATCACATCGAGATATTGAAGAAGAGATACAGAGGGAAGAATCACACGGGACATTGGGAAGAAGACACACGGGAGACAAGAGATACAGGGGAAGAATCACACGGGACATTGAAGACACAAGGGATACAGAGGGGAAGAAAGACAAGACAAGGACAGAGGGAAGAATCACACGGGATATTGAAGACAAGAGATACAGAGGGAAGAATCACACGGGACATTGAAGACAAGAGATACAGAGGGGAAGAATCACACGGGACATTGAAGACAAGAGATACAGAGGGAAGAATCACACGGGACATTGAAGACAAGAGATACAGAGGGGAAGAATCACACGGGGGACATTGAAGACAAAGAGATACAGAGGGAAGAAATCACACACAGGGACATAGAAGGGAAGAAGACAAAGAGATACAGAGGGAAGAATCACACGGGACATTGAAGACAAGAGAGAGAGAGGGGAAGAATCACGACATTGAAGGGACATTGAAGACAAGAGATACAGAGGGGAAGAATCACAATGAGATGAGAGGGAAGAATTGAAGACAAGAGATACAGAGGGAAGAAGAACACGGGACATTGAAGACAAGAGATACAGAGGGAAGAATCACGGGACATTGAAGACAAGAGATACAGAGGGGAAGAATCACACGAGATATTGGACACAGAGGGGAAGAACAACGGGGAGAGACAACATACAGAGGGAAGAATCACACGGGACAGGAAGAAAGACAAGAGATACAGAGGGAAGAATACACAGGGAAGGGACATTGAAGACAAGATATACAGAGGGAAGAAAATCACACGGGACATTGGAAGACAAGACGGACACAGAGGAGGAAGAATTAATGGAGATATTGAAGACAAGATATACAGAGGGAAGAAACACGGGACATTAAAGACAAGATACAGAGGGAAGAATCACACGGGATTGGAAGACAAGAGACAGAGAATACGGGACTTTGAAGACAAGAGATATGTAGAGGGGAAGAATCAATGAAGACAAGAGATACAGAGGGGGAAGAAAGAATTAAAGACACAGAAGGAAGGACATGGAAGAGATACAGAGGGAAGAAAAGAATTGAAGACAAGAGATACAGAGGGGAAGAATCACATGGAAGACAAGAGATACAGAGGGAAGAGGGAAGAATCACAGGGAAGACATTGGAAGACAAGAGATACAGAGGGGAAGAATCACACGGGACATTGAAGACAAGAGATACAGAGGGGAAGAATCACACGAGATATTGGAAGACAAGACATACAGGGAAGAATCACACGACAGAAGACAGAAGGAAGAATAACACGGGACATTAAAGACAGAGATACACAGGGAAGGGACATTAAAGACAAAATACACGGGACATTGAAGACAAGAGATACAGAGGGGAAGAATCACACGGGACATTGAAGACAACAGAAGGGAATAACACGGGACATTGAAGACAAGAAGAGGGAAGAACACGGGACGTGAAGACAAGAGATACAGAGGGGAAGAATCAATGGGACATTGAAGACAAGAGAGATACAGAGGAAGAACAGAAGCTGAAGACTTTACAGGGAAGAACATTGGGACAGGAAGACAAGAGAGACAGAAGGAAGAATCACACGGGACATTGAAGACAAGAGATACAGAGGGAAGAATCACACGGGACATTGAAGACAAGAGATACAGAGGGAAGAATCACACGGACATTGAAGACAAGAGACACAGGGGAAGGGAAGAAGACAAGATATAGAGGGATGAATCACACGGGACAGTGAAGACAAGAGAGGGAAGAATCACACGACATTGAAGACAAGAGATACAGAGGGGAAGGGACGGACATTGAAGACAAGAGATACAGAGGGGGAAGAATCACAAGACATTGAAGACAAGATATACAGAGGGAAGAATCACATGGGACATTGAAGACAAGAGAGACAGAGGGGAAGAATCACACATTGGAAGACAAGAGACAGAGGGGAAGAATCACACGGAGGAAGACAAGATATAGAGGGGAAGAATCACGGGACATTGAAGACAAGAGACAGACAGAGGGACAGTAAAAGACAAGATATAGAGAGGGAAGAGACACAGAGACAAGATAGAGGGAAGAATCACGAGACATTGGAAGACAAGAAGACAAGAGATACAGATATTGAGATACAGAGGGGAAGAATCACACGGGACATTGAAGACAAGAGGATACAGAGGGAAGAATCACACGAGACAGTGGAAGACAAGAGAGAGGGGGAAGAATCACAAGAAGACAGAGGGGAAGAACACGGGACATTGAATACATAGATACAGAGGAAGAATCACACGGGACATTGAAGACAAGAGATACAGAGGGGAAGAATCACACGAGATACAAGACAAGAGACAGGGGTAGAATGAAGACAAGAGATACAGAGGGAAGACATTGAAGATAAGAGAGAGGGAAGAATCACACGGGACATTGAAGACAAGAGATACAGAGGAAGAACGGGGAAGACAAGAGATACAGAGGGACAGTAAATGGACAGAGACACAAGAGATACAGAGGGGAAGAATCTCCACACGGACATTGGAAGACAAGAGATACAAGGGAAGAAGACATTGAAGACAAGAGATGAAGATAAAGAAGAATCACACGAAGAAACAAGAGATACAGAAGGGAAGAATGACGACATTGAAGTCGAGAGATAGAGGAGGGACATTGAAGACAAGAGATACAGAGGGGAAGAAACACGGGACATTGGAAGACAAGAACCTTAAAGACAAGAACAACAGAGGGACACATTGAAGACAAGAGATGGAAGGGGACAGACGGATCACACGGGACATGAAGACAAGAGATAGAGGGGAAGAATCACACGGGACATTGAAGACAAGAGATACAGAGGGAAGAATCACACGGGACATTGAAGAGAAGAAAAAGAATTACACGGGACAGAAGAAGAGGGGAAGAATCACAGGACATTGAAGACAAAGAGATACAGAGGGAAGAATCACACGGGACATTGAAGACAAGAGATACAGAGGGGAAGAACTACACGGGACATTGAAGACAAGAGAGATAGAGAGGGGAAGAAATGGGACATTGAAGACACAGAGGGACACACGGGACACAGAGGGAAGAAGACATGATATTCAAGAGATAGAGGGGAAGAATCACACGAGATATTGAAGACAAAGAGACACTAGAGGGAAGAATCACACGGGACATTGAAGACAAGAGATAGGGAAGAGGGGATGGGAAGACAAGAGATACACAGGGGAAGAATCACACGGGACATTGGAAGACAAAAGACAGAGGGGGAGAATCACACGGGACATTGAACAAAGAGATACAGAGGGGAAGAATCACACAGGACATTGAAGACAAGAGATAGAGAGGGAAGAATCACACGGGACATTGAAGACAAGAGATATACAGAAGGGAAGAATCACACGGGACATTGAAGACAGAGGGAAGAATCACACAGGACATATTGAAGACAAAGAGATACAGAGGAAGAATCACGGGTATTGAAGACAAGAGATACACACGGGGAAGACAAAGGGGAGATGAAGACAAGGGGAAGAATCACACGGACATTGAAGACATTGAAGACACGAAGAGAGACAAGAGATACAGAGGGGAAGAATCACGACATTGAAGACAAGAGATACAGAGGGGAAGAACAAGATATGAAGACATGAGAGAGGGAAGAATCACACAGGACATTGAAGACAAGAGATAGAGAGGGAAGAATCACACGGGACATTGAAGACAAGAAGAATACAGAAGGAAGAATCAATAGAGCGGGACATTGAAGACAAGAGATAGAGAGGGGAAGAATCAAGGATATTGAAGACAAGAGATACAGAGGGAAGAATCACACGGGACATTGAAGACAAGAGATACAGAGGGAAGAATCACGGGACATTGAAGACAAGAGAGAGAGGGGAAGAATCAAACGGGACATTGAAGACAAGAGATACAGAGGGGAAGAATCACACGGGACATTGAAGACAAGAGATACAGAGGGAAGACGGGACATTGAAGACAAGAGATACAGAGGGGAAGAATCACACGGGACATTGAAGACAAAGAGATACAGAGGGAAGAATCACACGGGACATTGAAGACAAGAGATACAGAGGGGAAACTACACGACATTGAAGACAAGAGATACAGAAGGAGACATTGAAGACAAGAGATACAGAAGGAAGAATCACACGGGACATTGGGGACAACAGAAGGGAAGACATAAAAGAGATACAGAGGGAAGAATCACACGGGACATTGAAGACAAGAGATACAGAGGGAAGAATCACGGGACATTGAAGGAGAGATAGAGAGGGGAAGACGGGACAAGAGATACAGAGGGGAAGAATCACACGGGACATTGAAGACAAGAGAGATACAGAAGGGAAGAATAACACGGACATTGAAGACAATACAGAAGACGGGACATGAAGAGAGATACAGAGGGGAAGAATCACACGGGACATTGAAGACAAAGAGATACAGAGGGGAAGAATCACACGGGACATTGAAGACAAGAGATACAGAAGGAAGAAAGAATCAGAGGACAGAAGGGAAGAATAAACACGAGACATTGGAAGACAAGAGATACAGAGGGGAAGAATCACATTGGGACATTGAGGGAAGAAGACAGAGGGGAAGAATCACACGGGACATTGAAGACAAGAGAGACAGAAGGAAGAATCACACGGGACATTGAAGACAAGAGATAGAGGGGAAGAACGGGACATGAAGACAAGAGATAGAGAAGGGAAGACACGGGACATTGAAGACAAGAGATACAGAGGGAAGAATCACACGGGACATTGAAGACAAGAGATACAGAAGGAAGAAATGACACGGGACATTGAAGACAAGAGATACAGAGGGAAGAATCACACGACATTGAAGACAAGAGATAGAGGGGAAGAATCACACGGGACATTGAAGACAAGAGATACAGAAGGGAAGAATCACACGGGACATTGGAAGACAAGAGATAGAGAGGGGAAGAATCACACGGACATTGAAGACAAGAGATACAGAGGGGAAGAATCACACGGGACATTGAAGACAAGAGATACAGAGGGAAGAATCACACGAAGACAAAGACAAGAGACAGAAGGGGAAGAATCACACGAGACATTGAAGACAAGAGATACAGAGGGGAAGAATCACACGGGACATTGAAGACAAGAGATACAGAGGGGAAGAATCACAGGGGACATACGGAAGACAAGAGATAGAGGGGAAGAATCACGGGAATTGAAGACAAGAAGACAGAAGGGAAGAATCACACGGGACATTGAAGACAAGAGATAGAGGGGAAGAATCACACGGACATTGAAGACAAGAGATACAGAGGGAAGAATCACACGGGACATTGAAGACAAGAGATACAGAGGGGAAGAATCACACGGGACATTGGAAGACAAGAGATACAGAGGGGAAGAATCACACGGGACATTGAAGACAAGAGAAGAGAATACAAGAGAAGGGAAGAAACACACGGGACATTGAAGACAAGAGATACAGAGGGAAGAATCACACGGGACATTGAAGACAAGAGATACAGAGGGAAGAATCACACAGGACATTGAAGACAAGGATACAGAGGGAAGAATCACGGGACATTGAAGACAAGAGATACAGAAGGGAAGAATCACACGGGACATTGAAGACAAGAGATAGAGAGGGGAAGAATCACACGGGACATTGAAGACAAGAGATACAGAAGGGAAGAATCACACGGGACATTGAAGACAAGAGATACAGAGGGGAAGAATCACACGGGACATTGAAGACAAGAGATAGAGAGGGGAAGAATCACACGACATATTGAAGACAAGAGATACAGAGGGGAAGAATCACACGGGACATTGAAGACAAGAGATAGAGGGAGATCACAGAAGGGAAGAATCACAGGGGAAGGACATTGAATTGAAGACAAGAGATACAGAAGGGAAGAATCAGAATGGGACAAGGAGGGGGATCACACGGGAAGACAAGAGATACAGAGGGGAAGAATCACACGGACATTGAAGACAAGAGAGATAGAAGGGAAGAATCACACGGGACATTGAAGACAAGAGGAGAGGGAAGAATCACACGGGACATTGAAGACAAGAGATACAGAGGGAAGAATCACACGAGACATTGAAGACAAGAGATACAGAGGGGACAACGGGACAGAAGGAAGAATCAGAGGGAAAGAGAAGACAGAAGGGAAGAATCACACGGGACATTGAAGACAAGAGATACAGAGGAAGAAGAACAAACGGGACATTGAAGACAAGAGATACAGAGGGAAGAATCACACAGGACATTGAAGACAAGAGATACAGAGGGAAGAATCACACGGGACAGTGAAGACAAGAGATACAGAGGGGAAGAATCACACCGGACATTGAAGACAAGAGATATAGAGGGGAAGAATCACACGGGACATTGAAGACAAGAGATACAGAAGTGAAGAATCACACGGGACATTGAAGACAAGAGAGATACGGGAGGGGAAGAATCACACGGGACATTGAAGACAAGAGATACAGAAGGGAAGAATCACACGGGACATTGAAGACAAGAGATACAGAAGGGAAGAATCACACGGACATTGGAAGACAAGAGATAGAGGGGAAGAATCACACGGGACATTGAAGACAAGAGATACAGAGGGAAGAATCACACGGGACATTGAAGACAAGAGATACAGAGGGGAAGAATAAAACGACACACGGGACATTGAAGACAAGAGATACAGAGGGGAAGAATCACACGGGACATTGAAGACAAGAGATACAGATTGGGAAGAATCACACGGGACATACGGGAATAGAGAGAGACAAGAGAGAGAAGGGGAAGAATCACACGACATTGAAGACAAGAGATACAGAGGGAAGAATCACACGGGACATTGAAGACAAGAGATACAGAAGGGAAGAATCACACGGGACATTGAAGACAGAGGGGAAGAATACGAGGGAAGAATCAGAGGGAAGATATTGAAGACAAGAGATACAGAGGGGAAGAATCACACGGGACATTGAAGACAAGAGATACAGAGGGGAAGAATCACGGGACATTGAAGACAAGAGAGGAGAGAGGAAGAATCACGACGACATTGAAGACAAGAGATACAGAGGGGAAAAGAATCACACGGGACATTGAAGACAAGAGATACAGAGGGGAAGAATCACACGGGACATTGAAGACAAGAGATACAGAGGGAAGAATCACACGGGACATTGAAGACAAGAGATACAGAGGGAAGAATCACACGGGACATTGAAGACAAGAGATACAGAGGGGAAGAATCACACGGGACATTGAAGACAAGAGATACAGAGGGGGAAGAATCACACGAGATATTGAAGACAAGATACAGAGGGGAAGAATCACACGGGACATTGAAGACAAGAGATACAGAGGGAAGAATCACACGGGACATTTGACAGATGGGGAAGAAACGGGACATTGAATACAGAGAGGGGAAGAATCACACGGGACATTGAAGACAAGAGATACAGAGGGAAGAATCACACGGGACATTGAAGACAAGAGATACAGAGGGAAGAATCCACACATTGAAGACAAGAGATACAGAGGGGAAGAACAAAGAAGACAAGAGATACAGAGGGGAAGAATCACACGAACATTGAAGACAAGAGATACAGGAGGGAAGAAAATCACGGGACATTGAAAAGAGATACAGAGGGAAGAATCACACGGGACATTGAAGACAAGAGATACAGAGGGAAGAATCACACGGGACATTGAAGACAAGAGATAAAGGGAAGAATCACACGGATTGAAGACAAGAGATACAGAGGGGAAGAATCACACGAGAAGAAGACAAGAGATACAGAGGGGAAGAATCACACGGACATTGAAGACAAGAGACACAGGGGAAGAATCACACGGGACATTGAAGACAAGAGATACAGAGGGAAGAATCACACGGGACATTGAAGACAAGAGATACAGAGGGAAGAATCACACGGGACATTGAAGACAAGAGATACAGAGGGGAAGAATCACACGGGACATTGAAGACAAGAGATACAGAGGGGAAGAATCACAGGGGGGAAAGAATCACAGAGGGAAGATTGAACGGACAAAGACAAGAGATACAGAGGGAAGAATCACACGGGACATTGAAGACAAGAGATACAGAGGGGAAGAATCACACGGGACATTGAAGACAAGAGATACAGAGGGGAAGAATCACACGGGACATTGAAGACAAGAGATACAGAGGGGAAGAATCACAGGAGACATTGAAGACAATAGATACAGAAGGGAAGAATAACACGGGACATTGAAGACAAGAGATACAGAGGGGAAGAATCACACGGGACATTGAAGACAAGAGATACAGAGGGGAAGAATCACACGAGATATTGAAGACAAGAGATACAGAGGGGAAGAATCACACGGGACATTGAAGACAAGAGATACAGAGGGGAAGAATCACACGGGACATTGAAGACAAGAGATACAGAGGGAAGAATCACACGGGACATTGAAGACAAGAGATACAGAGGGGAAGAATCACACGGGACATTGAAGACAAGAGATACAGAGGGGAAGAATCACACGGGACATTGAAGACAAGAGATACAGAGGGGAAGAATCACACGGGACATTGAAGACAAGAGATACAGAGGGAAGAATCACACGGGACATTGAAGACAAGAGATACAGAGGGGAAGAATCACACGGGATATTGAAGACAAGAGATAGAGAGGGGAAGAATCACACGGGACATTGAAGACAAGAGATACAGAGGGGGAAGAACGAAGACAAGAGATACAGAGGAAGACACAAGAGAGGGAAGAATCACACGGGACATTGAAGACAAGAGATACAGAGGGAAGAATCACACGGGACATTGAAGACAAGAGATACAGAGGGGAAGAACACAAGAGACATTGAAGACAAGAGATACAGAGGGAAGAATCACACGGGACATTACAGAGGGAAGAACAAGAGAAGACAAGAGAGAGGGAAGAATCACAGGACATTGAAGACAAGAAGACAGAGGGAAGAATCACATGAGATATTGAAGACAAGAGATACAGAGGGGAAGGAAGACAAGAGATACAGAGGGAAGAATCACGGGACATTGAAGAAGACAAGAGATACAGAAGACAAGGGAAGAATCACACGGAGACATTGAAGACAAAGAGATACAGAGGGAAGAATCACACGGGACATTGGACAAGAGGGGAAGAATCACACGGGACATTGGGAAGACAAGAGATACAGAGGGAAGAATCACACGGGACATTGAAGACAAGAGATACAGAAGGGAAGAATACAGAGGGAAGAACGGACATTGAAGACAAGAGATACAGAGGGGAAGAATCACACGGGACATTGAAGACAAGAGATACAAGGAAGAATCACACGAGACATTGAAGACAAGAGATACAGAGGGGAAGAATCACACGGGACATTGAAGACAAGAGATACAGAGAGGGGAAGAATCACACGGGACATTGAAGACAAGAGATACAGAGGGAAGAATCACACGGGACATTGAAGACAAGAGATACACAGGGAAGAATCACAGGAAGACAAGAGATACAGAGGGAAGAATCACACGGGACATTGAAGACAAGAGATACAGAGGGGGAAGAATACACGGGACATTGAAGACAAGAGATACAGAGGGGAAGAATCACGGGACATTGAAGACAAGAGATACAGAAGGGAAGAATCACACGGGACATTGAAGACAAGAGATACAGAGGGAAGAATCACACGGGACATTGAAGACAAGAGATACAGAGGGAAGAATCACACGGGACATTGAAGACAAGAGATACAGAGGGAAGAATCACACGGGACATTGAAGACAAGAGATACAGAGAGATACAGGAAGAATCACACGAGGACATTGAAGACAAGAGATACAGAAGGGAAGAATCAAGAGACATTGAAGACAAGAGATAGAGGGAAGAATCACACGGGACATTGAAGACAAGAGGGGAAGAATCACACGGGACATTGAAGACAAGAGACAGAGGGAAGAATCACACGGGACATTGAAGACAAGAGATACAGAGGGAAGAATCACACAAGGACATTGAAGACAAGAGATACAGAGAGGGGAAGAATCACACGGGACATTGAAGACAAGAGATACAGAAGGGAAGAATCACAGATAGAGATATTGAAGACAAGAGATACAGAGGGAAGAAGAATCACAGAGGGGACATTGAAGACAAGAGATACAGAGGGAAGAATCACAGGACATTGAAGACAAGAGATACAGAGGGAAGAATCACACGGACATTGAAGACAAGAGATACAGAGGGAAGAATCACACGGGACATTGAAGACAAGAGATACAGAAGGAAGAATCACACGGGACATTGAAGACAAGAGATACAGAAGGGAAGAATCACACGGGACATTGAAGACAAGAGATACAGAGGGAAGAATCACACGGGACATTGAAGACAAGAGATACAGAGGGGAAGAATCACACGGGACATTGAAGACAAGAGATACAGAGGGAAGACGGGACAGTGAAGACAAAGACAGAGGGGAAGAAACAGAGATACAGACATTGAAGGAAGAATCACACGGGACATTGAAGACAAGAGATAAGAAGAAGAGTACAGAGGGAAGAATCACACGGGACATTGAAGACAAGAGATACAGAGGGAAGAATCACACGGGACATTGAAGACAAGAGATACAGAGGGAAGAATCACACGGGACATTGAAGACAAGAGATACAGAGGGGAAGAATCACACGGGACATTGAAGACAAGAGATACAGAGGGAAGAATCATTGAAGACAAGAGATACAGAGGGAAGAATCACACGGGACAGTGGACAAGAGATACAGAGGGAAGAATCACAAGACAAGAGATACAGAGGGGAAGAATCACACGGGACATTGAAGACAAGAGGACACGGGTCATTGAAGACAAAGAGATAGAAGGGAAGAACACACGGACATTGAAGACAAGAGATACAGAGGGGAAGAATCGGGACGAAGATATTACAGAGGGAAGACAAGACAAGAGATACAGAGGGGGAAGAATCACACGGGACATTGAAGACACAGAGGAAGAATCACACGGGACATTGAAGACAAGAGACAGAGGGAAGAATCAAGAATCAAAACGGGACATTGAAGACAAAGAGATACAGAGGGAAGAATCACACGGGACATTGAAGACAAAGAGATACAAGGGAAGAATCACACAGAAGACAAGAGATACAGAGGGGAAGAATCACACGGGACGTTGAAGACAAGAGATACAGGGGGTGAAGAATCCCACGGATCATTGAAGTCAAGAGATACAGCGGGTAAATTACGATTGGCCTGTAAACCGATTTTGTGTAAATGGATAGCAGAAAATATCTACTAGGGAAGTAAAAAACAAAAATAATTAGAAATATTAAAGATTGGAAGATGTTGAGATTCATGATATCTCAAGTCATCAAAGGATATGAGATATTGAAGTATAAGAAGTTATAATAGTTGATGTAGTAATAATAATTTTGCCGTCACTTCAAGTTATTAATTGCCATGCGCTGTCTTTAAAAGAATCAGATTAAGCCAAAAATGGATTATTGAAAACATCTCTGCGCTGTTAAACCTTGAGGTTTAGGCAGCCTTGCCAGGGATGATATATTTGCCTCTGTCCAATGGATGCAACGTCGCAAATCTATTGCTATTTGCAGCTATTTCTAAGGAAGATATTTGCACGAGCTCCATTTCACCAGTTCAGACCTTTACAACTAAGACCAGGCATGCCACATCCGCGGCATCGAACCAACCTCATTTCCTCCGTATTCGAATTGTAAAGAACCGCTTTTCCCAAAGAATTGCTCTGTTGTGGAACACACTCCCAGATGAATGATTCCCTGAACCCTACAAAAAAAAATTCTTCAAAAATTCAAGTGTTACTCTTTACCTATATTCCACATCTTCACGATCTTCATTTTCTACTTTGTACTCTTACATTCGTATCACACACCTTATTCAGTAACCCACTGCACTGAGTGGCTCTTGAGTCTTATACTTGATGAAAATTGTTAAAACAAAAAAATAAAAATTCGATACGATACGATTTATCACAGCCTTACTCGACCTCTGCACAGAGCGAGATTGGTTATTTATTTTTTTACGGTTTATCAACCTTACAGAGGTTCACTATTTACATTATTGGGACTATTGTCCTCATCTTTGTCGCGATATTTATTACAACGCATCAGCCGTTGTGCGCTCCGGCCTTCTTCCTCAAAGACACATGGCATAGTGGATAAAGGCGTTAGTTAGTTCCAGTGACGGGACCCAAAGAGTGTGAGGTCAATATCCAGTTAAGGCAGTGGAAAACTTTGACAGGGGAATTAACAGGAGATAACTGATAACTGACATCCATTAAACATGGCACGTGGAACTAGAACAGTCTACTCCAGTGAGCGAAATAAAGGGTTCAGTTCGACATTCTGAAGAAGGCCGGAGTGTAGAACGGCCGAAACGTTGTAATAAATATGGCGACAAAGATGAGGACAATAGTCCGAATAATGTAAATAGTGTACATAATACCTCATCTCAGAAATATAGACAGATACTTATAAAGGTTATTTAATGTCAGAAAATATTTACTTACTGATAAAAGTTCTACTAATTAACCCATATCTGGAGGAGAACAGATTTATACGTTTCTCAAAGCTATTTGCCCGTAAGTAAATATAAGGAACCCGACTGGAATTGGAACTCGGCTATTTCTAATTCCGAGGCGTTATCAATTACACTGTCTTCACACCCAAGATTACAGCACTTGATATTCTCAAGCGGTCACCCATCCAGATACTGACCAGACTCCACGTCGCTTAACATTGGTAATCGTACGATAACCGGTGTTTTAACGTGATATGGCCATAAGCCTCACAGAGCGCGACGCGCTGACCTAACCTCCTGCCCAGCAGAAAACGCACCACTCTACGACTGTGGGGATAGGTCGGTTACGGAATCCAGATAGCTGCACTCATTTGTACCCAGAAAAATCCCTTCGCCAACCTAACCCAATCAATCAGAATTAAAAGGAGGGGCGGGGGGGAGCATTATCGATTAGTCGTTTCTAATTTGGTAGAACTTACTTTCCCAGGTGCTCGTTTCTTAATGCGGTTCACCAAGTCAACTTACCCTTTTGCACGTGCTTACTTTCCTCACTCTTTTCTCTTTCTCTCTCTCTCTCACATTGTTTTTTTTTGTTTTTTGTTTTTTGTTTTTACACATCTAATCACACTCGTTCCCTTTCGCTCATCGCCAGCCACCACCCCACCAAAAGAAGACCTTAGCCGCCACCGACGTTGGCATCTTTTTCGTTCGATTAAGCTCCGGATTCCACTTTTGTTTTTTGGTTCCAATCTTTCTCTCTTGTTTTAATTTCGTTATATTTCTCTTCCACTCTCTTACACGCCATTCTCTCTCTCTCTCTCTCTCTCTCTCTCTCTCTCTCGTCTTCTTTCTCTCGGTATTTCCTCCCTCTCTCTCCTTCTGGCATTTTTCTCTTCTTTATTTATTCTTTGACTCTCTTTTTCTGATCTCTCTCTCTCTCTCTTTCGCTTTCTTTTACGGTTTCTCTCTCTCTCTCAACATTTTTCTCTTCTCCATCTATTCTCTATTCTCATCTGCTCTCTCTCTCTCTCTCTCTCGCCTTGTTTCTCTTCATCTCTCTCTCTCTCTCTCTTTCGACATTTCAACATCTCTCTCATTCATTCATTCATTCTCTGTATCTTCTTGGATGTCTCTCCATATATATATATATATATATATATATATATATATATATATATATATATCGGACTCTCTCTCTCTTCTATATCTTTCTTTTTTTAGATACACACACACACACACACATATATTGGCATCTCTCCCTCTTTCTTTCTCTCTCTCTCTCTCTGTATATATATATATATATATATATATATATATATATTTATAATACTCTCTTGGCTTCATTCTATTTTCTATCATCTCTTTCTCTCTTACTCATGACTTCTATCTTTTTCTCTCTCTATCCACTTATATCTCTCTTGACATCACATTTCTTTTATTTTTCTCGACATCTCTCTGTCTCTCTCTCTGTCTCTCTCTCTCTCTCTCTCTTAACATCTTGCTACACTCTAATTCCCTTTCTCTCTCGTCCGACTTCTCTCTCTCTCTATCTCTTGGCATCTCTTTCTCCCTTTTCCTGGGTATTTTTCTCTCTTTCTCTTGATTCCAATCTCTCTTAATGTTTCTCCTTGTTTTCTTATGCATCTTTGTTCGAGGCAAGTTTTTCTTGTTTTCCTTCTTAAAACAACCTTCCCATTCTGTTAAATTTTGGCTTCCTAGCTAAGAAAAAATGTCGTCCATCTTCCATTCCCTTCTTTCCTTTGCTTTTCTTCATTGTGTTAAGTTTTCTTTGTTTGATTCCATTTTTTTTCTCTGCTATTGATGCAGATGGCCTTTTTTTTCACAGCTTGTTCGATATTCTAAAAAGGGGACAAAAAGCAAAATAGAAATCAGTGAGATCGATTGTAGAAAATGAAAAAGGTACTAACAGCAGAAGTTTTCCGGTTATTAATGCACAAGAGCTCGCAGATATCTTGCTATTCTGGCTAGCTGATTTGTTATACGGCGCCTGCCGTAGAACGATCGGTTGGCACAGTTGTCTCGCTAGTGAAGTATGTTTGATCCTAAAGCGGCGACTCAATAATGAGGCCATATTCCTGGTTAAACAAACCTCAGTAAACACTTGTCTAAAACGACTGCTCTAGAGCAATGGAGTGTACGCTTATTTCATAAATCGTTCGTTAGTAGCGTAAGTTTGATTCTCACTGGCTAGTCAACTCGTTCTATGTTAAGCTTTGCCGATATCTCGGCGAGATGACGATGCACATTTACAGAGATCGAGTTCTACATTCTTTAAGTTACAAATATATTTTGACTTAAAAATTCACTTTTAGTATATAGAGTTGACATTAGTTTCCAGAAGTTATTTGATAATAAATAAGTAAATTCATAAACAAGACGATGTCCCTAAAGTCTGCACACATAGGGATTCTCATTAACTTTTCTTTTTACCTCCAAAGATTAAACAAGGTTTTGTCGAAAGAAATGATTTTTTTTTCTAGGCTATGCTAAAGGGGAAGTTGTACTCAATGAAAATCACAGATGCAACATGCTTGATTGAACATATAAAAAGTGAATGTGATAAAATTCACGGCAATGTGGAGTTATTGCATCGAGTCCACATGGATCTTGCAAAGCACATCAACATTTGCACCATAAATGATGGTAATCCTATTGAAGATTTTATTTGTTAATATTCGAATTCTATAAAATGTTGTTAAAAATTTCATTTCTTGAAAACAGCCTTTAGAGACACCCTGTACACTTCCTACTATAACATTCGTATTATACACCTCATCCAATAAGCCACTACATTGAGTGGTTCTCGAGACATATATTGTGGGAATATTCGTAAAAATCAATCTCCTGAACAAAAAGTAAAATGCCATCAACAGCAGATTTTCTTTTTACTAATTTTCGCCCAGTAGGAGACTTAAAAGCCACTCAAGCTTGAGACTTATTGAATGAGGTGTGTGATATGAATGTAAGAGTAGGAAGGGAAGTTTATGAAGATATGGATGATAGGTGACTGACCCTCGATATGAAAATGTTAAGATTTTCAAGTTGGGGGAAGCATCCCCACAGGAATCTGTTTCACAAAGCAAAAATAAAACAGAAAAAAATGATGGGCTATTTTTATCAAGCTTTACAGTACCTGGTGTCTTCAAGCGGTCCCCAATTTAAGTACTAACCAAACTCAACGCTGCTTAACTTTGGTGGTTAAACGCGAACCAACGTTTTAATCATGATTTCACCGGGCACTGGGTCCAACAATTCTCATTCCTTTCGTATTCCATTAGTAAGAAAGCAGTTCCACTTGAACAACTTCTTCACCCGAACCGCTACTTTCAAGAATCGACTCCCAAGGGGATGCTTTCCCGACGACTGTGATCTGAACCCATTCAAGTCTAGGATTAACTATTATCTTTCCCACATACCTTCATAAATAGCACTTCCTACCTCTTACTCTAAACACACATACACCAACCTCCTTCAGTAACGCTCTATCTTGAGTGGCTCTTGTAGCTTGTATAGAATGAACATCAAAAAAAAGAAAAATCTTGAAATCGGTCTTTCGGGAGAAATTGTCACTTATCAACAGATTCACTACTCTTTATTTTTTTCGTTTTTTAGAAGGGGGAGGTCTCAGTTGAAAGGAGACGAGCAATAACTGAATTGTACTACTTAAGAACTAAACGAAATATCCCCAGAGAGGGTCAGCGAAATTCGAAATGCCCTGAAGGTTACACGAATCGGCAAATAACTGACGAAAGCCGGAGGGCACAACGGTCGAAGTGTTTTGATAATAACAACAAAAATGGGGAAAATAGACCCGCCTGTAAATAATGTAAATAACTTGTACTTTTTAATCACCAAAACTTATTTTAAATGTTTACCAGTTAAAACCAACTAATTAGCAGACTTTGCAGGCTTCATCTTTGAAAGCATGTTCCCACATCAGTATGTTGGGCCAAAGTGTTGAAGCAGAATATCCTTCTGGGATTTGAAACAGGGAGTTAATTTTCGTTCTTCGTATGTGTAAATATTTTTTCTGACTCATTTCTTTATTCCATCTATAGCATATTTCATAAATGATGACTGTTAATCATTTTTTTAACAATAAATTAAAGCAATTTTAATATGTTTGTAGATAGTAAATATCCTGCAAGATAGTTGACAAATACTGAGTATGCAGATGACCGAGCTATCACTGCAGACACCATTACCAATGAAACAGTTCTCCTACATCATCTACGAAATACTGCCAACGATGTTGGACTGTATACGAATGTCTCTAAAAGTGAATTCATAGGCTTGAACCAGCAAGGCTCAGTACAAACTGTTTCAAGTGAACCAATATAATCTGTCTAATGCTTTACATACTCTTGAAGCGAAATAAATTCATGTGAAAAGGATATGAAAATTCACATAGCTAAAGCTTGGGCCGCCTTGAATAAAATAGAAGTAATATGGAAATCTGATCAAGCGGACATTCTTTAGAGACAGTATTAATATAGGGTGCCTCTGCTTCGACATTAACTAAAACCCTAGTGTCTAAGCTTAATGGAACCTACGCTTTGAGCTATACTTAACAACTCTTAGAGACAACATCCAACAAAATTCCAACTCTATGCACCCATCCCTACAGTCTTACGCGAACGCAGAATGCGCTTTGCAGGACACTGCTGGCGAGCAAACACAAGAACTCGGAATAGATTTGCTGCTTTGGACACCTAAACATGGAGCAAGACGGGTTGGTCACCCAGCAACCACCTGAATTGATAAGATGTTACGAAATTGAATGCTACCCTAATGGTCTTCCAACTTTGAGGCAGTAGCGTGATAGACTTATGTATGTGTGAGCTAGCTCGACCGAATAATAAAAAAATGATTTGGAAAGCTCGTATTTTGACATTTTTCGCTGATGAATAGGAGTCAACAAAAAAAAAAAAAAGAACTTAAAATCTCCATTACTGAGACAAAACATGATTCACGCTAAGCATATGGCAGTTTTGTAAGTGTGTTCTAGATGTGGCACAAGGCCGAAAGTGCGGAGCATCGAGTGAGTATGGTGCATCCAGTGGTAACTGATCTAATTCGCGCCAAGCATATGAGCGTTTGATTTTCACTTTAAATGTATCCTCATAGAAATTTGAATGTAAATAACTTCAACTCAGAATTTATTTGTATTTAGGTATATATTCCTTTATTTTAAGGTTGCCTTTCCCCTACTATGTTTCATTAGTAATTTGGTAAGAACAAGCGATAAAATGAAACAGACTGGTCGTAAATTCATAGTAGTTTAGTACGTTTGATATCAGGCACATTGTGCCTTCAGGTGAACGGACATAACTGTGTTTTTCGATCATCTCCTTAATCTCTCACGTGATGGCTCCAAGTTTCCATGCCCCGGTAAATCGCTTCAGTTAGCGGGCTAAACTCACGTGATGGGGTGGTGTTAACACGGAACCACTGGGCAAAGGATCACCTCGACGCAGGTCACTGGCCAGGGCGGAGGACATCGGCTGTGCTCTAACCTGAAGAGAGGTGGGCCGCGACAGGTTAAAACGCCCAAAATACGTCACATGGTGAGCAAACCAAGAAACAAACTTCTACCGGATCGGCCGTAGCCCAGGGTTACCATACACGACTGCGACAGATGGAGGAGACTCCTTCTGTGGTTAAGGAACAAAGATAAAGCCCCCCCCCAAAAAAAAAGAGAGAGAAAATCTCTTAGATCATGTTACTTCCAATGCAACTTCGGTTAAGTCAATTACATTCATTTCCTTTTATCAAAAAACATTTACAGGTGAAAATTGTGTCCACAAATATTCCATTGACCTACAAATTCATTGAGTACGTTGTTAATTTTTAGTCTGTTTAATGATGATTTTCCAGGGCCGAAAGTATGGGGCATGCAGTGAGGATCGAACTCACTGCTCATTCGTAAATGTTCAAGCGAAACATGCTTGCTAACCATTACAGTCCATCGAGGTGCCCAGCTGGAGATTTCCCAAGTGTATCTTAGATGTTGCACAAGGCCGCAAGTATGGAGTACCCAGTGAGGATCGATGTCACTACTTAGTCGTAATTGTTCTCGGAAGACAAGTTTACTAACCATTACACCACGTCGAGGAGCCCAAAATGAGTTTATAAGCGTAGCTTAGACGAGACACAAGGCCGAAAATGTGGAACACGATTTAGGATCAAACTCAAAACTCAGACGTAATTGTCTGTTTTATGTTCACATTTTTTTCGTTAAATTTCGGGATATTTCACGCCGCTGTCTTTGGGGTACATTTTTTTTACATTTTCACATCCTATCTGGTAGACTCCGACTTCTAATGTAAACTTAGTTTTATGATTTATACTGATCTTTATACATATTCTTCATTGTGTATAATATACTCTTTTTATTCATAATTAAATAGATTAAACACAAACAGCATATTTTAATATATACGTAACAATCTTCAAGGAAAAATGTAAATGCTATTTAATAATATTATTAAATTCATACGGTAGGTAACAGGTACACAGCGGATCGGGTTTGTTTAACGGATCATAGAGTGCCGATTCCTCCGAAAGGGACTATTTTCCATTGGGACATGTGACTTAGCCCACTTAACTGTACCAAGCGCTCGCTAGAAGGGCGCTTTTTAAGCCTATGAATAGGCAATGATATTCTCGCTTACCCTCTTTTTGCTCTTTTCAGCTCTTGCTGTCAAATGTAGTCACACGTGAGTAAAGTGTACCCCAATGGCAGGGTCGTTTTTATGGTTTTCTCTGCATTAACTTTTGGACTCTCTCACATATACACACACGTGTTTATTACACACGCACATACAAGTACATTCTTCTTATAACGTGTTTTAATGTTTTTTTTTCATTTCCTTACAGTTGTCTATATCAAATGTAACATTGTCGTTTGTTTTATATATTTTGTTTTGTTTCTCATTTTACCTGAACTCACATCGAGTCGGACAATATTGTATGCAGCAAAACTGTTCCGGGAGCCCGTAAATATTTACGATCCAAAGTATTCCCAAAATACAATGGTGACTAATATTTACCCAAACTAGTAACAGACATACCAATAACACCATGCAAAAAAAAAAAAATTCAGCTTTCTTAATCAGTACCCAACCGCGCTGGCCCAGTGCGTGTTGGTAGGGACTCACAGCACCTGGTATTCCCAAGCGGTCACCTATGTAGTTACTAACCAGGCTCAACGCTGCTTAACTTCGGTGAGCGGGCGAGAATCGGTACTTCAACGTCATACGGCAGCAAACATTCGTCCATTTTTAGACATCATAAACGTACTGATACGACTATTGTTGCTTGTCACGTGGCTGGAAATAGGTCAGAGTATCAAAGATCAGTGTTCGACACCAGACAGATAAGAGCTATGGTTTTGAAGGCGCTTTTAATTGTAATAAATCTATTTTTCTGGTTTCATTTTCGCCTATGCTAAAAAAAAAAAATACTGTGATAAGTTTGAATGATAAGGTAGTTGTTTATTTTTCACTAATTTTAGAGCTTAATCTTTAAGCTGAGTCCAAAGCCATTCCCATGTTGGGGAGACAGGAGCTCGTTAGAAATTAAAGTAGGGGGAGAGAACTCATTCAGTAATTATTATTTTTTTTTTGAGATGTGAAATTGTCAATATACTTTAATTAGTTCGTTAATTGTCTTAGATACTATTATAATAGCTACTATTATAATAGATACTATTATAATAAATACTATAATAGATACTATTATAATAGATATTATTATAATAGATACTATAATAGATACTATTATAATAGATATTATTATAATAGATACTATTATAATAGATATTATTATAATAGATACTATTATAATAGATACTATTATAACACATACTACTATATAAATATTATTATAATAGATACTATAATAGATACTATTATAATAGATACTGTAATAGATACTATTATAATAGATACTATTATAATAGATACTGTAATAGATGCTATTATAGAGAGAACGTATGACCAGGAAAACTTTCACGTGTCCATCGTTTGGCTTTATAAATGATATATCTTGATTATTGTATTATTTTTATGTAAATGACTCATGTAGGCCTTAAAAAAGACCAGTCATTGTCAGAATTCAGAGACTGGCGCTATAGTATCACAAACAAATAAATTTACAAAATAGTAAACCCCCGCCATGAGGAACAGTATTTAAATGGTTATCATATGTAATTAATAGACATAATAATGACATTAGAAGTCGTTGACTTTTCAGAATTCCTTAAATCAAAAGTTACGACAGAAATCCCCGTCTATCGTTATCGTCTATCGTTTGAGCCCAATAACTGTTGTTATCTAAACAACGATGACAGTTAATGGGCTCAAAAAATATTTCTAAACGACAGTAACGCTATCTTTTCGATTAATAAATACCGAATGTTTCTTGTATGGAAACGGCTATTCTCACCATCAACATTTGTTCCTTTTACTGATTCTTGTTCGTCCCTTCAGAAAAAGTGTTTCTCTAACTCTGTGGTTCACAACCGGGTTTCATATGGACTCTGGACCCCATGCATCATTACTGGGGGTCCACACAAAAAAATAACAAATCGTGGGTCCACGGTAATATTTTAGCGCCCCACAGTGCAATTTCCCTTCGGAACGGTTGTTACAAATGAAAATAGGAATTTCTACAGTAATCTACGCCATATTAAAATATTAAAAGTAGGATAACTTTCCTTTTACTCAAGATGTTTTCATTGTAAAAGTTGAACAAAAATTGAGAAGAATATATAAAGGAAGGATTATATAAAGATTATAACTTATTACATAAATTATTTTATGTATTAATGATAAATAATAATATTAATTTTAAATGTTAATAAAATAAAATATTAATCATACTTATTATAAAACCCAGGTTGTGTGTGTGTGTGTGTGTGTGTGTGTGTGTGTGTGTGTGTGTGTGTACGTTTATATATTGGATCGGATTTCCTACATTTTCAACCGATTTCAACAAAACTTGCACACTTTTTTCTTTATTTTTACATTCAGAATGCTTTAAAAATTCCATTTACAAGACAATAGTTTATAATAAAATTCTATTCAATTGGTAGACTCCTAACGATTGAAAACAATGTTTTTGTTTGAGTTTGGGTTTGACCAATTCGTAAAAAAAAAAAAAAAAAAATAAAATAATTAAGACATGCGTGTCCGTCAACCTTAAACAATAATATTTGTCAATTTTATTTTTCAGTCTTTATGATGGTCGATAGTTGATCTATGTCTTACTGTTACATCCCCGGGAAACGCCGGGTTCTACTGCTAGTATATTAATATAAATTAATTAATATAGTAATAGACTTGACATTGTAAAAAGGTGTGATCTTTGACTATCATTCATATCGATGGAGTCAAATATATATATAAAAAAAAAAAACTCTCAGAGCAAACCCAACCATGGATCTTATCGAATAAATCTGCAATCTTTTAAATTCATCAATTACAAATTTTAAAATATTTATTTATTATGTGTTATTTTACTAGTATATATAAATGTTCCATAGAATTTAGTTGTTAATACAAGTTTATTTTCATTAAATTGGTTTTACTTCAAAATAAAGTATATATATTTACTCATTCTATCATAGAATTCTAAAACTCATCTATTAGTAAAAAAAAAACAAAAAAAAAACAATAAATAAATAAAAGAAGTTTTTTTATTGAATTGTTGTGGGGTTCCATTAAAAGAAATTAACTATAAAAGTGGTAAAAAAAATCCACTGCTCTAACTTATGCATGGGTTAAACTTACCATCGTTAGATGATAGTAACTTCTACATCCACTAAGCCTCAATCCGGATAGACTTCAAGGAAGGAGCATATTTCTGGAGCCTTTTATATTCAATGTCACATGGATTGAACTTAGATGATAGTAACACTTATTCAACGTCAGATGTCTTCGACATTTGATTCTCATGTCTGTTTCGTACAGCTTTTGTCAATTTTATCAATTATATTGCTAGAGAGCTAATTCTAAATATCTTAGATTTGGATAACAAGCATCTACTCTTTCAGATTTATGGCGCTTACTTTGCTGGCGCTGAATGTATTAACAAAAGTAACAATAAATATGATAAAAGGTAGTAAAAATAATTAGTAACAATGCTTCATCTAAAAAGATAGACAACTTAAAGATTAAGATGACCTCAATTTTATTTCAAATGTCATGTCGCTTAAGGACGTAAGCGATCACAGCTTTCCATAGATTACATTTACTTTATTAAATAACTTTGTCAGAATTTGACTCTAATATGAATGCCATGTATGGCGACCAACTCGTCTTAAACTATCAGCTGCATACAAGCGTCTTCTCAGATCAATGAGAAAAAAATGGCTTCAAGCGAATGGCTCCTTTAGATCAGGTATTCCCAACCTGAACTCTTATGCTCACAAATGAGTCTGAAGAATTTTTTTAAAATTGGCCTAGTGTTGACTCAAGGAAAATAAGTGGGCTTTGCAATTCTATTTTTTCCCACTGGCGTAAAATTATGAAAACGCAAACAGCATTAATTACCTTTAGCACTCTGCATTATTAATATTATTCTCACTGCAAAGTCCCTCAGTTTCAGTATCCTTGATATTAATTTTACTCAAAGTTGTTTTCTGTTGCCATAGAAGGATATGACAACATCTAAGAAAACTATACTTCAGGGGTCAGAGGCATCTTCAGTGCCAGGATAAACTTTTTGTACATCAACTGAAGTCACATAGAAGAGTTTAAAGGTAAATAAATCAGCAAATATTTAAATAAAATGTTCGATGTTTTCTTATCAGTCAGTTATGTGGCACGCGTAAGCGATCATGTATCTTTCGATACATTACTGACGAGGCAGATTTTTCCCGCAGTAGGTTTGCCATTACTTTCTGTGGTAGACCAGTTCCCGCTATTTACCCATAGCTGGTGAGAGAAGAAGAGGATGTATACCTTTCCCAAGGGTATTAGCACATAAGTGAATGTAATGGATTCGACTGGAATTCGAACTCGGCTCTACGATTCATACCGCGCCTCCTGTTTTCTTATAATAAATTATATTTCCAAATTGATTTGAAACATTTTTTGTTTTATTATGTGGCTTTAGAAAGACTTCCTGTTAATTAAATTTATTTTTCATTTATTTCAGAACCACATTGTTTATGCATTTAATGTGAGTTATTGACAGAATTAATTAGCACAAATGTTATTTTAATATTTGAAAGCATTACATTATCTGTATTATATCTGTATTTATCCTGTTACATGGAATTTCTATTTGTACTTATTTGACCCTGATATTTTTGGACACCACAAATGGGTCACAAAGAAGAAAAGTTCGAGCCACAGTGTCTTAGATCTCTAAGAAGACGATGACAGCCATACCAAATAACAACCACATCACATAAAGACTTCCAACAGAAGTAATAACAAAAATTGGTAGCAATGCAACTAGAAGGGAAATAAATATGTAAATCAACTTCACGCAGTACCTGAGACAAAAGGCTTAAAGGAAACTACCTTTAATACTAGAAAGAGCAATAACAGTGGATATAAGAAGTCCGTTTTGAAATTCAGAGTAGTTATTTTCCTGGCCTGTTATTTGACCCATAGCTAGGGGAGAAGGGATGGATTCTTACATTTCCCAAGGGTATTAGCACGAAAGTAAACGCGACAGACTATGCTGTAATTTGACTCCGGCGAGAAACATGTAAGAAATGATAGCTATAAAAGTAGATTTTGTTTCAATGATCAACTCGATAAAGGCGCCGTCCATGTTAGACAATTTTCCAAGGATATAGTATTCGAGTTCAAAACACATAGAAGCTTATTTTCATTTTCGGTTTATGGTGTTTGCTTAACAACTGTGATGAAAAAGCATGAAAGACACTAAAAACAAATTAGTAAAAAGTTATTAATAATATTATTATCGAATAGTTAAGAATCTTGGATATTAGCAACTCAATAAAAATTAGAAATGAGGTGCTACAGAACCATACCAGATATCTTCCATGTAGACTGTGGTGTCCTCCTTTTCAGAGTCTACGTTAGACTCTTCCGCCTACTATAAGTTTAGTAGGAGAGAAGGTTCGGGGAACAGGGATCAGTGAATGGACTGAGCGCTAGTTCGTTCGATACACTCTTACTAGTCTTGTGATACACTTCTGGTGTACTTAACCATTTACTTGATCACAACACAGACTTCTTTACAAGTGGCGCAGTGCGAGACACTATCAGACAA